TGTCGCCTCATGCTTTTGGCTGGCCACCTTCTTAATTCTCCCCATGATGATGTTTTAAAGTAGACAGCAACTCATGAGGAGGTTCGCTTCACCTGCGGTTTGCTCCTCCTGGTGAGGGTGGGGAGGTCGTGAAGACCCAAGTCGCGCAGACCGTCGCGGAGGAGCCTTATGACGTTTCGGGTCTTCTCCTTCCTCAGCAAAAGCCCAACGAATGGAGTAGGACTAGGATAGAAGCAATGAGTGTTAGAGGAGGAGGGAATTAATACGGAGTAAAAGAGTCTTTTTTCCCCAAGTAAAAAGTTTGGGATGGGTGAGAGGAATGTGAAGTGAGATGATGGGTTCTGTTGCAGCTTTGGAAGTATCGATAGGCGTTAAAAGTTCAGAGAAACAAAGTGCAGGTCGTCTCTCCGAAACTCTAGCAACCTAATCAGTCAAGAAGGAGTGAGATGAGTATCAGGAGACACTCCAAAGCTGAGACAGGATGACAGGAGGTGGTGCAAAAGGTCAAATGAAGGATGTGTTGAAGTTTGGAAGGTTCGTGAAATTATCCAGATGATGGAGCTCTGGTGCTCTTCCGTTGCAAGCAAAGCAGAGAATAGCCCGGAGCGGGTGTTCTTCCCCACCGAACAACTCATTCACTGATGCAGACTGCACTCTAGAAAAACTTCAAAAACACCCAGCATTCATGCATGCATGAGGCATCAAGAAATCGGATAATATTCTTCATACCTCAGTTATTCATTAGGTTCTCGCTACTTTCATCTGACAATTTGAAGTCTATCTCCTCCCGTATGATGTCAGGCGAGTATAGAGGCTGCATCAAGACCCTCTTACGGTATCTCCGGCCATGTCCGTCTTCGATTTTGATGCTTGATCCCAGTTTCCCTTCCTTAGGAACCCAGCACATGGCATCGGTCATCGCCAGCTACCTTCCTCCCTAGTCCTTCGCGGTCAGAAAGCCGTACCTAGTTGGTGTTTAACATCCACTACTGAAATCGAATGCTTCAGATGCTACCCCATCAGCCTAGAGAAGCAGATCGATCCCGTGTAAAATTGCTATTTAACTTATATGTATACACACAGAGACATTGAGCAACGCCAATTTATGTCCAACATAACAACTCCTTCCAGCGAGCTGCGTCAGTCAATATGGGATCCAATTTTGATCCACCGCCTCGATCACTCCTTTAATTCTGGCAAATCACCATCCCACTGAATCTTCATCGTCGTTGGGAAGGGGAAAAAGCCAGTCTGGTCCGCAGTCATGTACATGGCAATCCCACCAGGACCTGAAAGCTTCTTCAGGTGGCCTTGTCCACCAGGCGCCCGGCGAAGGTTATCCAGCCGTCCAATGACCTTTAGCATGGTCGTAAGCGCGGTTTTACAAAGACCAAGCCCGAGACACTGGTGGGGTCCAAAACCGAAATGAGCGTATAGGTTCATGTCACGGTCGAGTTTAACCGTGTCGGGCTCTGGAAAACTGACAGGGTCCATGGAAGCCGAAACCTGATTATATCGTCAGCAGGATGATCGCCAATTGCAAATTTTGTGAGTGGATTACTCACCAGGTTACAAATAATATGCTGGCCTTGTTTCAGTGTGATCTTCTGGCCGTTGTCCTCGACAACCGTGGGTTGTGCAACAACTCGCGGCAAGGCAACCGACGACCGCATCCGGGCACCCTCCATGAAGCTATGAAGTGTTAGTAAAGGAGAACGACATAGAACTTGATAATACTCACTATCGCAACAGTAGATCGTCGGCTTCAGGAGTGTCTTCCTTGGCCAGCCGATTGATCTCGGGCAAGTGAACTGAGCCCTCTTCTGAGAGGTAATAGTCAAGAGACTGGGAGAAAAGTTGTGCTTGGTTGGCTACCATTCCTCCAGCAGTTGGCAGAACGTGTGTCCAAACTATTTCAGGCGCTGGCATCCCGCTGTCAAGCAGGCGCTGAATCATATGGACACCATATTCGCTGAGGACATCGTGCCGATGCAGACTATTGACAAGATTGGCAATGAAACCAGTCTTCTCGATGAGCTCAACGTTAGCCAGCGTGAGCTGGCCAAGTTGTTGCGTCACGCCCCGAGCCCCTTGGTTAAGCTCGAAAGACTTCCCAACATCTGCATCGTAAAAGATGGAAGTGAACACGACCGCCATGATTTGGTACAACTCCGACTCAGTGAAGATGCCTCGGGGATTGGATTCGGTTTTCAATGGTAGCGAAAATACGGAAGCACAGAAGTGAACCTGCGCCAGGTTTGCAATATCGCGGACGATATCAACTTGGTTGACACCAGCAAGCTTGTAAGAGTACCTGTGCAGCAGCTTCAATGTAATATCCTCATAGAACTTCTTCACTTCAGTTTCCCATTTATCACGGTAGAGGGCCTTGCCCATCATTTGACGTGACATGGCGTTCGGGCTCCTGTCACCGGATAGCATGAAGTCTCTGCCGTAAGGCTGATTATTGTGGCGCATGAGAAACTCAATCTTGCTACCCCAAGTAACCTTGAATGTCTCCTGGTCCGACAGTATGGACATGCAGGCCGAATGGGAGTTGATGAACTGAGGCGGGGACGTATAGTTGGGGCGATCCCAGCTATACTTATCAGCGGTTCCAAGTTTGGTCAGAATCTTCTTGTTCTCGGATGGTACGACAAGGGGGAAGTGAGCATAGATCGAATCGCCCCTGAAGTGGTTCGGAAAAGCTCGCAAGACGAGTTTGTAGAAGACATGGGTCTGGTCAACCGAATCCTGAGGCTGAATCTCACTGTACGCCCAGTTTGTGAGATGTTTCGGTGTGAAATCGACGGTGTGAAAGCGGTCACCACGAACCAAAGCGACGGCGTCCGACAGAATGGCTCTAGAGATCGTAAAGTTGGTGCATAGGCCACTGCCAGGAGCCATTGACTCTTTCGCGTCTTCCACAATGATACCAGGGTATATCTCAACCCGATCAGGATGGTCGTAGAGTCGCCTGAGCTGGTCTGCGACGTGTGGATCCGGGTTAATCTCTTCAAAAGTCTTGTAGGGAGCCAAATTGAAGTATTTCCTGAATTCGTTCAGGGTAGCCAGATTCCATGAGCGGGCTTGTTGAATCCCAAGCGCCTCGATGCTCCTGAAGACGGTGGGAACATGCAAGGCACCGAAAGCTCCCGCGCAGTCCTCAACGCTTTCCTCGAAAATTTTGACTAAATCATCGTCGTCATACGACCCATCTGCCTTGCGCTGCAGTCCAGCAAACGGACGCTCCTGAGGCTCTTCTGGTAGCTTAGCCTCCCATCGACCAAGTCCTCGCAAAAAGTCCTGCAGGGAGAAGTTGCTGGGATCCTGCCCAGGGAACAATTCTTGGTACATATCTTCAGTCCATTTCTGATCTCGCTGGGAGATGCAAGAATGCCAGCGGTACACAAGGTTAAACTCAGCAGCGACTTGATTACCAGTCGCTTGAGTGGCTGCGCTGCCAAGTAATCCGTCCTTCATTTCAGAACGGGGGTCCAAGCTCCAGTTGCTGTTTGTTCTGTTAATATTCAAAATGGTGCGAACATAATCCTTCAGAATGATGTTGACGTAGAGACCGCATGTTACAAGTCGACCGGTTTGGAAAAGATCGTTGTCATATTTCGCATATGCTGCGGTGTCGGACTCTTGCGGCTTTGTAAACCGGCCTCCCTCGTTGATAATTGCAAGCTTCTCAACCACGTAGTTATGGAAACGATTGAACATCATCAAGACTACGCCAACGCCCGGAGGGAATCCCAGAATACGTTTTGTCGAGAAACAGTCTGGCTTGAGCTTACCGTCCTTGAACGTCCTGACAAGGTCCTGTTCTTCTTGATTGTTGCCATACAAAGGCGACAGATCCAAGTATGACGAAGTGAGGCTGATCGCTGGATCTTTACGATCCGTCTGAAATAAATCTGTGTATATTTGTCAGTCCCATTGTCGGCCCTTCATTTGCCAAGACTTACCATGGATAATGATGGATGCAATGTAGAACAATACACTAGATATTTTGTTGGGATGTTCTTTGTACTCTTTGCGCGCCAAAAGGCAATCAAAAAGAGTTTCGGGATCTGGTAGGTTCGGAGACTGCGTGGTTTTGGGCCGTACAGATCTTGCATACGGAGTCCCAGCCGCACCAATATGCGGCCAAAGCACGTTCTGTTTTAGTGGTCAGCAAGCATTCTAACACCACATGTCATTAAGCCCTACATTGCCAGAGCCATCCGCTCTTCGGTACATTGCATCACGGCCAAGATAGCTGCTCGTGCGGTCAGAAGTAAGTCAGAGAAGATCACTTCATCAGAATGCACATACGAGATTGGTGGGTGCTCCAAGTCATTCCACAGAGTGGTCAAAAAGGTATTCGTCAATTCTTTACCAATCTGGGACGTTGAGGGTAAGCCAGCGGCGAGCTAGCATTTAGTCAGAATCAATAATCCAATTCGCCATTAACATACGCGGATAAACTGACCTGGACAACTCGCTCCATGATATACTTCCTGTCGTCCAAAGCCTCTCCGGTCAAGGCACTCTTCGAGACATCCACGAGAGTCTTAAGATCGCCCAGGTCAACGTGGGGAAGATCTTTGAGAATGCCTGTCTTCACTTGCTCCGTGACATAGGTGCCATCGCCTGTTTGGCTAGGCAGAGGCCGCAGCGACGCTGAGACAACCTGCTCGAGCTGAGCCAGGGTCTTTCCAAGTCCACCATTGGCTGAACCGGTTTGCTTCTCAGACATAGCGGATATAGTGGGCAAAACAAAAGTGGTTGGGTTGAAATACAAATGCACTACTAAGTCACATCAGCACTAGGCACCTTTGCGAGAAGAAAAGGCACATAAGAGGCCTGCAGCATCCGGTACATCGACCATGCGCTGTGCTTGTGGGACATCATTGCGACTCACCAATTTGCTAAATATCAGATTCGGGGATATATGTGGCATGCAAAGCGAAATCACACTAGATATACAAATAGTACAGCCAAACAAGGATACAGAGGGAATAGATTGCTTAGCGATTAGGAACCATCGATGGGCCAGTGGACTGGAAGGAACTCGAGAAATAAAACCAGGCCTCTCGGGACCAACGTCCCATTAAGTACGAACTTGCGCCTGGACATTGGAGTACCAAATAAACATGCGGCTGCAGCAGCGAGAAACGGGTGCGGCTGAAGGAGCCTTGCTCATGGCCGACGGAGTCAGCAATAATCATCCCCATAACCATCATCACCACCACAGCCATCGCTCCGGGCGAAGAATGCCCCACAGGAGAGTGTGCGCGATATGGCCATTTGATTCGTGCATGCACAATAAGACCAACTTAGTTTGGCTGTCAGCTGGGACATTGCCCATGGCTGAGAAACAGGCCAGAACATGGCTGATGGCAACGGTGTGGAGCTGAAAAACTAAGATAATTAATAGTTATCAGTACTCCGTAAAGCATGGAACATACTCCTATGAAGGATGCATATGCAGTCCACATCAAATGCAATCTATCTTGAATTCATGATAGCGTTCGTTCATCAGATGAAGATCCCGCAAGGGGTTGACCAGTATCGCCAACTACTGCTGCTGGGGTTCTTACAAAGCTGAGAACATGTCTGATCGAGGAAAGACAACCCGGTTGATCTGCGAATGGTGGGTTGTCAGTCTACCAACACCTTGGTTGGCAAATGCGCAATCATATTGTCAGACGTTCATAGGTCAATTCAAGATTCCAGATCCCGATCCCCGTCCGCTCATGAGTCGTGACGCATCCGATAGGCTGCTCATGTGATTTCCAATCACGAACGCTGTATCAAGGCGACGGTTTCTTCTGGATAGATGGAAATAACAGTTTCTACATTCAAGTCACTTAAGATTGGTTCAGAAGGAATGGTGATTGCAGGCGACGACAGTGGGACCCCTTATGCAAGCTAAATTGCCGCTAAATAGTCCGGTAAGAAAAAGGCTGGCTGAGTCGTTTAATTCGGAGTACTTCGTACAGCCTGATAGCAGTAGATGGTGGTTCGCGTATCGGGTAGTACATAATTCATATCCTGAAACTCGATAGGCAACGGAGAAGGCCGGCTGACAGGCTGACATCGAGCAAGGGCCAAGGCGCTTCTTGGTGCTATGATAGCTGACTGAGTCCAGTTAGTGTGTCCCCATCTGTTCTGACAGGTTGGTATAGGTTGGAGTCTTCATTTAATCATTACAGTATCTCAATAACGTAAACATTCTCTCCTCACTGCTGTTGATTGAATGCATGCACACCTGCCACCCACCACAGTCATTCTTTTCGATGGTAGTCTAAGAACACGAAGTATTCTCAATGTGGCACAAAGCAGCATCATGTTCCCCGGACTTCCTACTCAGTCTCGAGTGCAACGTGCATACTGGAAAGTGCGACAAGTTTCCTCTAAAACATGTCCTCAATAATTAATATCACGTGATTTGAGACGTGCCGAGGTGCCTGAATCATGGATCCAAATATCGTGGACACTAGTTGTTTTGTTAGCCCGAAGTATTTTCCGGATCAGCAAGACTGCAGACAGTAGAATCTCGACCATCATCTTCTCCCTCTTGTTGTTGCGGAGTGTGTTGGCTTCACTTTCGGTCAAGTTTACGGGCACGCGCTATTGCGAGATCAGAAAGGAGTGCGATCGCGTTCAATTCCAATGGCGTCGACAATCACATTGGTCGTTCAACCCCGGGGTACACTTCCATTTGAATATCTTCGTCCTTCCTCGATCTAAGCATTTGCAGCGCACTGATCCCCTTTGTTACAGGAAAACCCATTAGGAAGCTTCCAAAGGAACTTCAGATTGGTCCCAATGCTTCTACTCAAGAAATCTATAGCTCACTCGCGGAAGCTTCGGGCTTCTCCATCCACCGTTTGAGGATCACCAAGGGAAGCGATCGAACAGTTGTCCCCAATGCAAAGGGCGCGAGTATCAATGATATTGGTCTCAGGGATCAGAGTGTGGTTCATGTCAAGGATCTGGGTATGTTGGAATTTTGATCCAGCTATACTCTCCCATCACGATGAGAACTAACACAGAATTTTGCATCCCTTCTTAGGCCCCCAGATTGCATGGCGCACAGTCTTCATTATCGAGTACCTGGGACCTCTTCTCATCCATCCTCTGTTTTTGTTCCCTCTCCGGCCATATATCTACTACAACTTCGACAAGCCTCTACCCGAGCCTTCCGACCTGCAGCTACTGATCTGCGGGCTTTTAACCGTTCACTTCGTCAAGCGAGAGCTCGAGACTCTCTTTGTCCACCGTTTCAGCAATGCCACTATGCCCGTCCGCCACATCTTCAGGAACAGTGCTCACTACTGGGTTCTTGCCGGCTTCAACATCGCGTACTGGGTTTTCCGCCCCGACGCGGCTGCTGCCACCAACAAACCCAACCCTGTCCTCCTCTACAGCGGTCTTGCGCTTTTCGTCTTCGGCGAGCTGGCTAACTTGAATACCCATCTGGCGCTTCGCGACCTGCGTCGACCGGGTACTACCGAGAGGGGCATCCCATCCGGCTTCGGATTCAACCTTGTGACCTGCCCCAATTACTTGTTCGAGATCATTGCCTGGATTGGCGTCTATCTGGTCAGCGGAATGAGTTTGAGTGTCTTGTTCTTCATAACTATTGGAGGTTCTATAATGGCTAGCTGGGCCGCCAAGAAGGAACGCCGCTATCGCAAAGAGTTCGGTGACAAGTACAAGCGCAAGAGGTTTGTCATAATCCCCGGAATCTTCTAAGTAGTAGATTCGGTGATTAGACCAACCTGCGTATGGAAAGCCAGCCATTCCTGCGGGAATATGGCCATGTCACGGAGCATCCGGTGAGACACTTGCCAGCTAACAAGGGTTGCTGTGACGCTACACGCAAGAAAGAGAGGGTGCTTGGTGGGGGAATTACTTCTTATGCACGTCAAATTTCCACTTGCAGCAGTTAACGATGAGGACATATGCTCTTCATTAGGCGCTCGCAAACTCCCGATATGCCTTACGCCAAATAGTTGCTAGAATAAGGAGCGATGGAAAAGAGAAGTCTCATCATATAATCCCATTAGTGAACCAAATCCAACGTTTGAAATGATAGCTCCATCCAGACCCATGAACACCGATCTATAATAGAAGACAGATATAAAGAACGAGGCGCAAAATCTCAGGAAGATCGATCCAGGAGAAGGGAAGCTGCTTATGTACTCTTCAACTTCTTTGCCCACAGGTTGTAGTACGGTTCCATCTCTTGCTCACAACTGCGCTTAGGATCGGAATCACATCCGAAAAACCGGATGATCAAATCTCCGTCCTTGTAAGTGCCATCGGCAGAAGCAGCAGGGGAATCTTTGCTGTAAGCATTAATACTTCGTTGAGGAACGAGCGCCATTCTCGCGAGGACAGTCGGATGCCATTGCACTATATGATCCTAGTAGAAGAGCGGCCATTGTCAGGGAAATCATCACCGGCCATTTAGGAAGCGAAGAGGGAGACATACCAGAGCGTGCATCTCCGCTTTCTGAAAGTTGTACTTCCGATACAGAGGATCAAACCACATGTCAAGGAAGAATCGCGCAAAGTCGCCCTGGCGAAGCACAAAGCTTCCGGGGTTCAAGTCCTCGTTATCCGCGCTGATTATTAGGTCGACGTCCTCTGGCTTCAGGTGCGAGAAGGTCTTGATGATGCTATCCGGCGGCACAACAGGAACGTCCTTAAGCATCATCGATTGAAGGGGATTCTTGTCGAGAATATGAGACTCTAACGGTTTGCCAGGGTTCATGATCAGGGCATGAGTATCGAGATGGAAGAAATAAGCTGAATGAGGGTGCGATGCCATTGCATGGCGCATCGCTGGGACTATTGCCCAGCTCCGCGGGGCGTTGTCCAGCGCGGATTCGTAATCAGACAGAGTTGCAAAGAAATTCGTATAGCCTGCATTTTAGAAAAGTTTAGTCGGTTGTGGAAGTAGAGCTGGTGCACTGTAAGTAGTTCACTTACCATGTCGACTAGCATAATGCTCTCTGTTCTTGATGATCTTCTGGATGTAGTTATCGCTGAAACGGGCCCGATCTAGAACCGTCACAATGACAATACTTGAAGCTCCCGCCGGGGCGGATATTGACGCTTTAGTCGAATGGGAGAAGTGCGATAAAAGGAAGAAGAGCGCGAGGATAGCAAAGCCTAAAATTGCAGCGGCCTTGAGCTGTTTCTTGCGTTGTAAAGAAAGCCTGGAGGAGCGGGTGTGGGAAGAAGTATGAGGACTCCTTCGAGGGGTAGAGCAAACTGCATGACGAGATGACTTTGTCCCCAGCGACTCTTGCTGGGCGACTTTGTATGATATGAAGATGCCTCCTATCAGGACATGGCTGGAGTATTATCCGCAAGCCAAACCGGACGACTTGTATAGATTGAACTGTCGTACCTGGAGGCGGCCAATCTGCCGAATCCGGAAATGAGCGGCGGATCATCATTGGCCCGACCTTTGTATATGGCATACTCCAATCAACGATCTGGACTCACAGGAAGTCTCGCCAGACGGAATGTGGGTTACCTGAGATAAGAGCGTCAATTTACTTCAATGAAGCAGAGGGCCTGCAGCAGAACCCAGTGATACTTCTCGATTCGTCGCAAATGGGCGATACGTGCTTCTAACGTCTATCTTCACAGACATATGAGCTATCCGGAACGTCTGACATTGTGCCCCCGGGTAAGGCGACATCTCCATTGAATATCTCAAGCAATATTGTATTGCAGATATAATACATAAGGGTTAGACGAGATATGGGCGGTTCTTGTGACTCCCGGCCAGCGACTCTTGTCTGAAGTGGTGTACATTGAATTCCAGAAAATAGTCGAAGATAATAGTACATGACGCCCAGTCCTTGGCCAACAGAATAGAAAAACGAGCCGACTGTCCATTGCATGCTGATCAGAAAACTCCTGTCACATCTTTTATTCCCTAGTACTGTTTCTCGTTGTATGTTGGTTTCGTAACTTCCTTGATGTTGGTCTCTTCCTCCACCTTGGCTTTGACTTCTGCGTCCTTCTGCTTTACCCACTCCTCGAACGACGGTGGCTCGGGGAGGCCAAGGCGTTTTCTTTCTTGGCGGAATTGCTCTTGGACCTTAGGTGTCTGCATCACTTTCCATCGTAATTCCCAGCCGAAAATACCCAATTCCTTGATACGACCGGGCCGGTCGTCCAGAAGGTAGTTGTCGAGACCGCCAGACTTCCAGATTGTTCGCAGAGCCTTTCGCGTAACTTTGATATAGAGGTACTCTCCGAGGGCTTCACTCCAGAGCTTCTTCCGCCTGACGTTGGGCTTCCAGAATCGTCGGGTTTTACCCTCGTTGCGGCCCTTCGAGATCTTGTTTCCGAACTGGATCATAGTCCCACCATAGAGACCGGAGTTTGATTGCTTGAAAATGTAGTTGGGTCCATAGGGATAAGGAGGAATATAATCCGGTAATTGCTTCGTTTTTTGCGCAGCCAATGTCGTAGAGAACGAGCGCTTCGGGACTGATAAGGAGAGGTTGCGAAAAGCTGCGGAGAGGGAGGAGGGAAGAGTCATGGCGGAGCGACTCTGAAGGCCTGCCATTGTGATAATCAAGTTATAGAAACAGCATCAACAATAGCAGGACAGTAGAAAATCAAGTGTAGAGAGCCGACAAAAGGCTGCTGACGAGACGAATCGTAGCCAGATAGAGCACCGTCCGCTAGTAAAATGATCGGGAAGTCCTGCTAGACGGAAAGAATTTGGGCGGATTCTTTGGGGTGCTGACCGCCTTAGCAACGCACCGCTATCATTGCTCGATCTCTTTGAGCTGCGCGCTTGAATTTCGGCCAGAAGCATCACCTCGCTGGATATTAAAGCATTAATTTTCCTTACTACAGGTTTCCTTTGCATGATCCTCATTCGACTATTCTAATATTTTAACCACGCTTGAAAGTCTTTCGTTTCATCCAACGAGTTACCTATCAGCTTCCACGCCAGGCCGCAATACTTCGCCATGGTTCAGATTAGTGAAGTGAAGGGCAGTTCGCGCGAGAACAGAACAGCAGCACACACTCATATCAAAGGCCTTGGGCTACGTCCAGATGGGACTGCGGAGTCGTCTGCCGATGGCTTCGTCGGTCAGGCAGCAGCCCGCGAGGTGCGCAGCATCCAATTTTTCTTGCCCTTGTAAGATGAGCTTGGGCTGACTAGCATGTTTCTCTGACAGGCGTGCGGTGTCGTCGTGGATCTAATCAAGGCGAAGAAAATGGCAGGACGTGCAATTATGCTTGCAGGTGGACCGGGAACTGGAAAAACAGCACTTGCTCTGGCTGTGTCACAGGAACTGGGAACCAAGGTCCCGTTCTGCCCGATTGTTGGCAGTGAAATTTACTCTGCTGAGGTCAAGAAGACCGAGGCACTTATGGAAAACTTTCGTAGGGCTATTGGTATGCTGTTTCCTTCGCGTCTTTCATGTTGGGATTGCGATTAACAAGATTTCAGGTCTAAGAGTGCGCGAGACGAAAGAGGTGTACGAAGGAGAAGTTACAGAACTCACGCCTGAGGAAACCGAGAACCCCCTTGGCGGCTACGGGCGTACCATCAGCCATTTAATTATCGGATTGAAGTCGGCCAAAGGAACCAAGAAGCTGCGTCTTGACCCTAGCATTTACGAGGCAATTCAAAAAGAGCGTGTGACCGTCGGAGATGTCATCTATATCGAAGCGAACACTGGAGCTTGCAAGAGAGTAGGACGGTCCGATGCATATGCGACCGAGTTCGATCTTGAGGCGGAAGAGTACGTTCCTGTACCGAAGGGAGAGGTACACAAGAAGAAGGAAATTGTGCAAGATGTGACGCTTCATGACTTGGACATGGCCAACGCACGGCCACAGGGTGGACAGGATGTCATGAGTATGATGGGTCAGCTCATGAAGCCGAAGAAAACAGAAATCACGGACAAGCTGCGCCAGGAGATCAACAAAGTGGTCAACCGTTATATCGATCAGGGTGTTGCTGAACTTGTTCCTGGCGTACTCTTCATTGATGAGGTATTTCGAGCTCCCTTCCCCATCGCAGTCTAGGTGTGCTGACTCGTCCTCAGGTTCACATGCTTGATATCGAATGCTTCACCTATCTCAACCGCGCTCTCGAGTCTAGCATATCCCCTATCGTCATTCTCGCATCCAACCGGGGCCACACTGTTATTCGTGGCACAGACGATGTCACTGCTGCGCATGGAATCCCCCCAGATCTGCTTGCCCGTCTCCTCATTATCCCCACGCATCCTTACACCCCCGACGAGATCAAGACCATCATCCGGTTGCGCGCTAAGACGGAAGGCCTCAATATCACCGATCCTGCCCTCGACAAGGTCGCCGAGCATGGCAGCAAGGTCAGCTTGCGGTATGCTCTACAACTGCTCACCCCTGCTAGCATTCTCGCGCGCGTGAATGGACGACCAGGAGGCATTGAGGAGGCAGATGTTGCAGAGTGTGAGGATCTTTTCCTTGATGCGAAGAGAAGTGCCGCCATCGTTAGCCAGGACAGTGAGAAGTTCCTTTCATGAAGTAACGCGCTTAATTTAATAGGGGTTTCTGATGGTTGAGGGAGTTACAAAACCACGCAAAGATGTATGCTATGTCTAATATGCAAATTCTTATGTCACGTAATGGAAAGGATCCTTTGGCTCCATAGGCTCTTTGGTGTCAAGCAGTAATCGTTCGGGAGATAGCCTAGCTGTGTTTCTCTGGAATGTATATCCAAGCTTGTTACAAACAAAGGGCCCTTCACTTTCTCGGGAGGCAAATTTTATTCTTCAGTGAGCCTCGCAATGCACCCAGTAGGATGAGTGAAATCTGAATGACAAGGACGTAGAAACGCAGGAGACTGAGTAGTGTCCGAATGAGATGATCTGTCAGAGTCAAATGCAATTGAGGCAGGTCAGTCGCATCCAAGAGGTCCGGATGATGCTCAAAGGCAAAAGGCACTTTGGCACCGAGACGTTCAACGGCAACCGTGAGGCCAGATGTAACAGCGTCCTCGAGAAACCCACGGCCCGTCCATGAGAGGCAGAAACTAAGCCCTCGTTTGTTCTGAATGGCAGGAAGAGACCTCAGAGCCTGGAGCGTGTCAGTGCTGATCTCAAGATCGGTGAACTCCCACACTCCCGCGACAAGGAGAGGATGTGGTGGAGCAAATGGATCCAGTGTGATGAGGACTGGACCGAAGTGCTGTATTGGCATATTCTGCCCGTCATTCATGACGCAGGTGAGGCATGTCCTGGGGGTTATGTTGTCGGAAGGGTCTCCAGGGCGGTCTTTATTGCTTCTGTCCCAGGAAGTTACTATGAAACTACTAGCAGGCCATGACTGGTCGAAATCCGTTGCGAACTGGGAAGTTTGTGAGTACTTTGAAATATGGAGAGGTTCTGGCATATTACAGAGAGATTGAGAAGCTGACATTACTCACAGGCGGATCTGAATGCAAAACCATGATATGTCTTGCTGTTCGCAATTTTTGCAAGATCTCAGTTTCCTCGGTAGTAGGAGTTGCACCCAAAATGCGCTGAATTTCATTTGCAGAAATGGCAAAAATAAGGTGGTCAAAATGCGCCTTTTGTCCATCAGAGGTAATAAGCACAAAACGCTCCTTTGTCGACTGAGATATACCTGTCACTCGGGTCTTGACATGTACTCTATGAGACGGGAAAGCCCTTGCCATTGCCAGGACCAACTGCCTGGCTCCATCATTAATGCACTGCCAATTCAGCCTCTTTGGTCGTGGACAGAGAATGCTATGGTCCAACAGGCAGCGGACGAATGCTTTGACTGGCAACAGGTCTATAATTCTGCCAGCATTGATTCCCCACAAAGCCGATAACATTGATGTCAAGTACTTCGCATAAAATGTGTTTGAATATTCCTCACTTGCGAAATAATGCCGCATCACGGTTTCGTGCTGGGCATGGCGCTCACTCCGCTGGTGACCGTCGACCAGTAGGTCTAGACACGTGTATCGTAGTCGCGCAATATCGAACCACATCCGCCATGTTCCAGGTTTGCACAGAAGCCATGGGCGACGCACAATGTCCCCAAGTATACTTCCAGTCCATTGATCAGCTCCAATACCATCGGTTGCTCCAAAGGAGAGCTCCGCTGCGGATGTGGAAATTCCTAGATAGCGAAGCAGTGAAACAAGGTTGGCTGGAGTGGTATTAGTCTCGAGACAGGTTCCATCGCAGAAGGCACTGACGAGAAGCAGTTGCGTTGAATACTGGTGGCACTGTGTTCACGGTGACTTTATTTCCTGCGTGTTCAAATGGTACTGTCTTGATACGCCCACCAAGCGTTGCAGAGGCCTCGAAAAGATGGACATCATGCGGGGACTTCTGTAAAGCCCAAAACGCGGTGACCCCAGCGCATCCGCCTCCAACAATAGCGACACGTTTAGGTTGCGTGGGAGACATGACGCGACCTGTCAGATCTGGGGCCATGGAGCAGTATCATCGCATCGGGGTCGAAAACTGAAGTGCTCGCCCACAGCGAATAAAGCGAATAAAGGCAAGATGCTAAGGACTTTGGACGTAATACTGAAGGCGCTTGCTTCATCACAAAGCCGCAGAGAAGCGATTCAACCCGTACTAGGGCCTGGACAATGTGCGCACTCGGGTGCTACCCAAGAGAGAGCGTTAGAGCCTCGGATACCGATTTCTTACTCATTGCCAGGATCATCCACGTGCCTCGTTTCTCATCGGGTGAAAGTACGTCATCGGAGATGAGATCGGAGATTCAGCCGTACGCAGATTGAATCTGTAGACGTTGATATTGATGATAACAGCCGGCGGGTTTATGAGAGGCGGTTAGCCTCCACTTTTGTACGAGCGAGTTTCAAGTGTGACCACATCAGATGACAGCAACTTGAGACTCAACCAATGATTACCAATGAAGATGATGGTCCGAGAGTGATCTCGAATATTGTGTCAAAAGCTATCAGGAGTGACGAACTGAGAAGACGGCAATAAGTCGATGGGATTTAAGGTGAAAATGTGACAAAGTAATAGAGGTACCTCGACAGTCTGGGGAAATGCTATGACGTTCATCTACGGGAATGGAAACAAAAGTATTTTGGCGGATCCAACGAACTGAGCCCATGATAGGGGTACGAGTAGGTATGCTCTTGCCCAATATTTGCCCTCTGAGTAACAGTAGTAATGGAGTAAGTGAAGAGAAGACATGATTTGTTCTATTCTACCTCTGACACTTCACCCTCGGCTGGTCGTCACGTGTTCGTAAATGGCTGGAATGAGGTTAATCGCCGAACAATGAACGATCGTCATTGCAGTTGCCATCGTCCAGCCTCTTCTTTCTTTTTCCTCGTCGTTGATTCGGTTCTACAAGTTGTTGATCGATCGCTATATCAATTTATGTGGGTGTTAGCTGCAAATCAAGTGACAACTTCCTACCAATTTTCAAAACGCTTCCGCCTGGGAGACAATTCCGGCCGTTAGGGAGACCCGCCACGAAGATAAGGTGGGAGAGATCCATCACAGTCCGCTTATCAACAACACCTGTTCGCCCGTCGCGCCGAGATCTTTTCAGTCATACTCTTCTCGCCTTTCTCCTGCCTTTAGGTTTTTGTTCACGGCGATTCACGAAGACAATGTCGAACCCGCTAGACACCGATGCCGGCTCTGAGCTGTTCAGCAGTTATGAGACGGAGCTGAAGCTGGTACAGGCCGATCTGAACCAGAAGCTGGACCAGATTGCGGAATCGAGTGGTGAGCAGCGGAAATCAGCAATAAGAATGGCTGAACGAGCCTTAGATGAGGCCAATGAGTTGGTTCGTCACGCTTCCTGGCCTGCCGCCTGTACATCTCGTCTAACATCCCGTTGAATACGCACAGCTAGGTCAAATGCGCATGGAGAAGCAGAACATCCCCTCAGCAGCACGGTCAAAAGTCAACATTCGTTTTCGCAACTATGCCACCGACGTCGACGAAGCCAAGCGGAAGCTCAAATCGCTCTCCGACGATCGCAGGGCGCTCTTTGGCGACCGCTACACGGACGAACCACAAGATGAACATCTGGAGCAAAGGCAGCAGCTTCTTTCCGGCACCGAGCGTTTGGAACGCAGCTCTGCCCGTCTACAGGAGAGTCAGCGGATTGCGCTCGAAACGGAGGATATCGGCCGCAATACATTAGCCGACCTCTACCAGCAACGGCAGACCATCGAGCATGCGCGATCGGGGCTGCAGCAGAGTGAAGGATATGTAGATACGAGCATCAAGACTCTGAGGGGCATGGCCCGTAGGTAATGACTCTCCTTGAAATCCACCCCTTCTGATCTCAAGTTGCTGATCTCGAACTTTACCCTTTTCACAGGATGGCTACGAATCGGATAATCACGATCGCGATTATCACTGTTTTGGTCCTGTTGATTTTTGCTGTCATTTATAGCAAGTTCCATTAGCGTCGGGTTCTGGACAGGCGTAGATACGATTTCCTCTTCCATATTATCCTCTCATGACTTGTTCGTTTCTGTTTGCGCAGGCACTCCTACATGGATCGTTGTATGATAGCATCCCAGGCATTAATACTCGTCCCACATATTACTGCTATAACTAGTTGTCACTCAATCGGTCGCTTGGTTCGTTCCTTCAGCGTAAGGGTATCATTCGTAGCAAAGAAAATAGCACCAAAAAAAATAGGCTTCTAGCCCAGAAGTAGCCATCTAATTCATAATGCGCATAGCGCCAAATGCAACATTGATGACAACGCCGACAAAGACCGCCAAACCCTTCCGCCAACTCCATACACCCTCCTCCCTCCTCAACCACATGGCACAGCCCACAGGCCAGAAGAACCCCATGACCGCGCCCCAAAGCATGTCGTCCATGGCGCCTCGGGAGCCAGCCCCAAAGCCGCCATCATCATCTGCAAAGGAAATGCCTTCACCTCCGCCTCCCACGCCCGCTGCCATCGCGGATGATCCCTCATCCATCCACCGGTCTTCGAGCTCGCGCAGCTCCGCCCCAGTCGGCATGGTATCCGGTGTCCGCGATACAGATTGGATAGCCATAAACTGCGATCGCAACGCCGACACCTCGGAAGGAGTAAATCCTGCCGATAACAGCCGATCAAAACCGCGGGGGGCGGACGTAGTGGACGGCGAAGGTTGTTGCTGCTGCTGTTGCTGCTTTTGTCTACCTGTATAAGCCTCGTCCGTCTGCTCTTGCTGGAGTGTGGTAGCTATTGCCGCCTCAGCCGCTAGATCGGCGTCGGATAGAACGATATCGCCTATTGAGCAATGAATGTAGAGCCGGGGCTGCTCCCGGACGGGTGCTTTGCCCTTCCCCTTGGCCGTGGTAGCATCGTCTTGTGCGACGGGAGTTCTAGAAGGCGAAGGTGGGAGCTTTAAAGAAACACTCAGTGGGGTGGCATCTTCCAGACCACGACCAGCGTAGATCAAACGGAGGCGATGTGATGAGAGGTTCGGTGGAAGGTGCGTTCGGATCAATTGCTTCAAGCCGGCTGCCGTGGTGATATCAGGGTTCTGGATGTCAAGTGGAAGGTCGGGAATCGAGGCAGAGAATCGGACAGTCAGGAGAAGAGGCCCATCTGCTGAATCCCCGTCCCATGTAGGATCTGGGGTTAGAAATGCGGGGGAAGTCATATCTTGACTCTTGGGTATTTAGAATTCAAAGCGCCGCCCGATTGAAAGTCAGCTTAGCAAGTCTGAAGAAACACTGTGGTCACGGTCTGCCATCCATCCTTCGCGTTGCTCCATTACATAGTCAGTGACTGCATACTGCCAAACAGAGACGGATCGAAATGACGACTACCGGCAGATTTCCGCTTCCCAAGACCTCACGTGATATACAGACATCCGCTTGTGGGGAAAAAACAACAATAAAAGCCAGGTGACAGGAGACAATAGTCACAATATATAGTTTCATTATAATTCTTAAGGTATATGTACAGTCTGTTTGAAGCTCGACAGGTCCTGGTAACCTCTGCCCAAATATCTCGAGCGTCAAACCGGAAAACTGCTCTGCGGAAGAGGACTGCATCCCATGCCAGATAGGAAAAGCCCCAGTCATTCCTTCTAAATGCCGTCCTCGCAGAGCACAGCTGGGCCGACTACCAACCTCGTGTTGCCGGGGCATGTAAACGGTAAAAGAAAGTCGTAAGCCCAGAAATAAGATGTGTGAGTGTGTGAAAATCGTTAGAAGCCACAGTAACGCCGTCAAATGCACCTGAATAAACCCCCAATTAACCCAGTAGCAAAAGTGAACATTACAACAGACGATGTTCCTAGACCATGAAGGATTCGCCGCATCCGCATTGCTCCTCTGTAGTTTCAACGTTAGACGAACTGTATCGTGGTAAAGATGCGTAAAAAGTGACGAGGACTTACTAATATTGGGGTTTCGGAAGACAAACTTTCGGCTCAGCTTGTCCTCTTGCCAATCCATTTCGCTACCAATTATGCTGAACAAAGCCTTGCTATCAATTAGAACTTTCACTCCGTCTTGTTCAACAACTTCGTCGAAAGCTCCAGGTTTTTCAACGTATTCGAGATGGTAGGCGAGCCCAGAACATCCCCGATTCTTCACACCCACTCGAATAAATTTGGGGTCTGGCTGTGCCAGAAGCTTATGGAGTTGCTCAACCGCGAGCGGCGTCAACTTCATGGCTGCCTTTCTTGCCCGTAATTTTCTTCGGGGCTTTTCCGTGGGTGTCGAGCTTGTGGTGGGTGCGGTTGTAACAGGCTTCGACTTCTGAGCTTCCCCTTCTCGCAGGCTCACATTCGAATAGCCTTCAATCTGTCCTTGTTTTTGCATCGTCGTGTCAGGAGTTGATGGGAATTCTGCTGCGATAGATGTGTCTGGGGTGCCGGCATTTCGGGACGGAGGAGGGAAAACAGACGGTAAGGTATGGGGTCGGTAGGCGGTAGCGGTTTGCATATCACGCTTTGAAGACCGGTATGTATTTCCAAACGAGGAGAAACTCCTGAGCGCTTGTGCGCATTGTGTATTGAATGGTCTGCTCGCGCATCTCAACATCGTGGCGGATGATGTCACCGAAGGATGCACAGTAACCCTGTAGAACGACATGATAGAATCAAATCTATGTATACAAAGGAGAAGACCGCGATCTATAATAATGAGGAACCGAAGGTAGATACTTTTGTATCTGCGATGGATTTGCTGCTTGCAGGGAGCGGAATTGTCATCAAATATGGAGAAATGGGTACTTTGGGAGAGGGATTCTGTTTTGTAGGCGGAAGAGAGTCGGCGGTTCGGCAAAGAGTTCATGGGCAATGAGTCAACCAGCCAATCAGCGTTGAGGTGTTTCTACGCATCCCGCCTGGGAATGTCATTCACACTTCACTCTGAAGGTGGCGCCACTACAAATCATGACAAATCATGTGATGGCAGTCGAGCCTCTCAGTAAAACCAGCATATCATTTGATTGCAACTTCAATATTGAGGAGACCAAAGGGTAAATTAACTTGTTCAGTAGGATTGTTATCTCAACTGATCTATATCATGCTTAGTTTGAGAGTTCCTCTCTGCCTATTAATACTTCCACATCATGTGAACATCCTCAAAAACAACCGAAGTCATACAAATACCAAGGGTCAAGTTGTTTGACAGCATTAATATTTCAAATTCATGGAAGTAGAGTCTCTCAAGCTTTTACAGTATCATTAAGAGGTAAAGCATCTGATCTTCAGGGGGTGGATATCGTTGACTCTCCTCAATAAGGAATAGTTATTCAATGAAATGTGGCTTATTGCTGACAACGCAAGTGATTATGTGGCTAGTGTGTTCTGGCCCAAAGAGGCAGAAATGGCTAGAGACAACTATTATTATGCCTCGACACTTGTACTTATGATACATTGGATATACATATATTCGGAATCTTTCTATCGTCTTTTGTATTGCAGTTCCTAACTTATACTTGATTCCCCAGTATTGCTGCAATGGTTCTACGCTTTTTGGAGTCTCATGTATAACATCATGGAATCCCCCTTAACACAGCAAAGTAGACCGGATACTTTCAAGCCTAAAATTGTGCAACTATATGAAAATCTCTTTCAAGTATGTGATTCATTTACAAATCCTCTGCATCTCACGCTAATTATTTTATCCATAGACGTCAGATTTTGCAGAACCATCCGAAGGTTTCTGGCGAGAGTTCTTTTTGTTGCCGCCTGATCGAGCCCAGCTTGCATTAATTCTAGATAGGATCGGTCCAGAAGATACTCTTCACTTACAGGTATTTTGTCAACCCCATGGGAAATTCCAACCTGATATTGCTTGCTGACTCTGTACCAGGCTCAAACCCAGCACCTATTTGCGCGTGCAATAAAGGAGGCCAACTCGGGAGTTAGTCCTGTGAACGCTTATGCGTTAGAGGTGAGCTTGCAGATTGGGAAGTTACACTTCAAGCTCTAATGCCTTAGCCAGACCTTGACAGTCTTCTTAGCATGTGTGCTTAAGAAGAAGTATACCAATCCCAGCTCCGATGTTATCACTGTCCTTGCCGGGCTTGATGAGGTCGACCATGTCATCTCGAACCTTGTCGCCGTTCTGGATGGTATTATTCGCAATGGGAGCAGCTGTGAGTACCCAATCAGAAGCGGCTGCCTAAGTCGACCGAATTATGGCCATTAATGAGTGTGCAGTTGATATTCGGATTAAAGCGATCCGGGTAGCCATTGCTCTTACCAGTGGCGCATATAAGACGAGTCTCGTCTCGTACTTTACCCATAGAGATCTGTTCCCCTCCCTCATGAAGGTATGAACGTACTAAGCCATAATAGCTCTGGTTGCTGCATTCGAGAGCATTTTGCTGACACTCCGCGAAGTTTGTGCACGAATCCGATACCCCTATTCAAATATTTGAGCCGTTCCTCCTTCTTGGTCTATTAGCGAACTACAATAAGTTCGAGTTTCAGAACCCATATCAATTGCGCCTCGACGATTTTGTCAACGAGTCAAGCATTCAAAAGATCGTCAAAGGTGTCGGTCTTTCGTGCGCCGCCTTGAGGAACGGCTATGTTGCTGTACAGGACGATGCACCTGAGGGCTGGACACTCAGCAGCACTCTGGTCTTCTTCGGACTCGGAAGACTTGCTCCAGGCACGAGGAATAAAAGCCAGGCGCCAACGGCTGAGGAAGCGAAGGAGATGTTTGCAACTCTGTAAGATCGCTTTGGGTACTCCGTTTAAATTTCCTCCGTTGGCTAACTGGAATCAGACCGCCCCGGGAAGCAGCCATTCTTCTAGCCACCTACGACTTTTCAAATGCAAATAAACTCTTTGGGTATCACCTCATTAACTCTGTGCCAGAGAAAGAGAACGAGGAGTCTCCATTTGCCAGCTTTCTCTCTGTTACGAGCTACCTGCTGCAGCACGCTTACAGATCCCCTCGTGTTGCACACTACGCAGAGCTCAACCTCTTCGCTCTTCGCATCCTTTCTGAAGATTCAGCCTTGTGTAAACAGCTTTGCAGCGAAGGGGAGAAAAGAAACGTGCGCCTTTGCCGGCAAAGGCAGCCGTATCTGCCGCTCGTCACCGGGGACAGGGTTCTCGCAACTGTTATCTTCGACATTATGATTGATACAATTTCCCATAATCTCCGGCGGCGCCTTGATGCCAACATCTACAGGTAAATTCTCTCACCTCTTCGTTTGTGTCTAACAGGGGGCTTGGGCTAATCTCCGCTGCCATTCAAGTCATTCAATCGCCATCCTTCTTCGGCTTCTAACCTACCTATCAATGAACAAAATCCGTTTGACATACCACTGGTCGGAGCTCTGGAAGACTCTGCTCTCCCTGATGCGGTTCCTTACTACGTACGCGTCGGACCTGTCAACTTCTCCCAACATTACCACTCTCACCACCTCCCTTGTAGACCTGGTGGCATTCTGCGTTTCCGCAGGTGACACTTTTCTCCCAGACCCGGCGTCTTACGACGACTTGTTCTACAAACTCGTCGAAACAGGTCCCATTATCACTCGATTTCGCGACGTCTACTCTCTCAAGCCCCCAGCTCCGTCCGCCTCGAATATTCCCGACCCCACAACAGTCGCCAGCAAGGACATCCACGTCGCTGCCATCGACACCCTGATCTCCGTCTCCATCCATTTCTACACTTTGCTTTTCAACCCAGACAGGAACGTCGACGCGAGCTTGAAACCTGGTGGTGAAGCGCCGAATCCTGTGCCGATCCCGGCTAACCGGAAGAAGAATCTTTCGCCCCGGGAGGTTCACAGGATCATCAAGCAGGGCTACGACACGTTGAGTATTCAGCCTCCTGAGGGGTTGAGTGCGTGGACGAGATGGCGTGAGGCGGACTGGAAGACAGAATTGAAGCGGGCGGCCAGATGCGCCGTGGAGGATGCCCGGCAATTGGTTGCGTAGAAATTCCTTCTGTTCAACCTCAGCTCAAGAGCATGCTTGTGGTGCCCCGAAGGGCCTATATGGCTGTAATTATGGCTGAGTTGGTTGTTCAACTTTGAAATTATATCATCCTGTATAGCTATAGGGCCAGAATCGATGAATGAGACCTGGGTCCTGACTTGTATGCCTAGGACGCCAGAATGCACGTTGTGATGAAGCTGTGTCTTTCTCGAGGATTCGTGATAAAAAGTGGCCAATTCTAGATCTAATAATACAAGCGCAGACACGGTAAACCATGGTGCGCATAGCTGATTGCTATCTTTCGCTGCAAATGAGCACCACGTTAACCAAAAACACAACGCAAACAAAGGTCCTGGACAGGCGGATGTCATTCGTATACGAAGAAAATACCTCAGTGACACCAGCCACCCCATCATGCTCAGACGAGCCGCGTCGTGGCAGCTGCTGCAGCCGAACTGGGGTTACCCCTTGACTTTTCCACGTACTCATTTGTTGCAGTCATGTACCTCGTGGCGAAATATTTGTCAGAGTTCTTGCTGAGCCAGAGCGTGAATTTCGACAACTCCTCCCGGAGTCTGTTGGTGGACTGGAGATCCATGTTTGTCTGCGCAATGAGCTCCGGCATAGTTGCTGGACGAATAAATAAGTAAGTGGTCTTCCGAAAACAAACTATCAAGAAGCATACCAAAAAGTCTCGTCAAATGCTCGGCCCCGTAGATATCGAGGGCCCCTTCTCGGAATATTCGCCGGATCCCGCCTCCCATTTCTTGCGGAGGGCTTTGTACTGCTCGCGCTCGAATCGGTAGAGCAGGATCTTGTCAAGGGCTTTGTCGAAATACTCCTTGATACCCATGATGACTTCTTCGAGGACATCCAGGTCAGCCGAGCTTGTACGCTTGGGCTTCTCTTCCGCTATAAAATCTTCCAAGATCTGGTTGACTGATGCTTTGGCCGGCAAAGCAACAACTTGCTGATTTTTCGTCACATTTTCCCAGTCGTCTACGAGGAGGGATTTCAAATTGTCCGGCATTACAATCCTCACGGATGGCCGTGTATAGAAATGTTCTTCCTGTAGCCATATCGTGAGTGTCATGTGCACAGAGCAGCGAGACTTGCAGTATGCCTCAAGGATATAGCGGGCATGTCTAGCAGTCTGCATTGTGGAGGGACTTTGCTTACCTTTTCAATTTCATTGTCTCTGGCCCTCTTAGTCGCGCGACCAGGAACTGATGTTTGTCGCTCCTCGCTGTCTCGGGCGGAGCCGCGATCGGAGCCTGCTTTTCTCTTCAACGTAGTCTTTGTGCTCTTCTGACGAAAAGCAGCCTCTGCCTCACGACGGAGCGTAGTTGCGAGCTCCCTATTCTCATCCGTAAATTTCCGGAGTCGATCTTGAGGCACCCAGTCGTCCCATCTTGATCAAGTCAGCTACAGCCATTCAACGTACCAAGGGTGACTCAAGGCATGCGGTAAGATCGCGCATCTCAGGTCAACAGAGTAGCATGAGCGCAGGAGACCCGCCACCTGCAACATAAAGAAGCGAAAACAGAATCGTACTTACGTGTTCTTCCACCCCTTGTAGTGAACTAGATACTCGAACGGACTTGTCTTGTCCTCGGCATCGGTGTGCCTAACGTCGAGGATCTTTGCCTCGTAAAGAATCTCATGATGAAAGCAGAGGGCTCTTTCGTCTTTTTGATAAGTAGATTGGCTTGCTGGCGCCATTTTGAATGTGGCGGGATAGATGAGGTATGATCAAAGGTTGTCTGCTTCTTCCGGAGGAGAGGAAGAGAAGTTGGTAGTATGCTTTAACCACCAACACGGGCTTCGCATAAGAATGAGAATGATGAAACACCAAGGAGGATGTTGCTGCAATGCAGCCTAAATCAGGCTTTGAATCCGCAGAAGCACGTGCAACACAACCAGGGATATCAGCAAATACTGGCCGCAGTAATTGTGTCAATGAGACGCGGACGAAGGCAATAGACTTGATCTTTGTAGAAGAATGATTGGAATCACGATACGAAGATATCAGCTTCGTTTATCAAATAGTTCGCGTTAGACGCGAAGGTTTCAGTGCCCACGGAGCCAGATGTACAAAGGCGAACACCTCCTCGGGAGACACGACAGGGTCAGATCAAGCAAGTATCCGATTTATGACTGCTATGAAGAAGATGAATGCTTCTGACCGAATTGCGGTTGAGATCTCGATGACTGAAGAAAGACAGAGAGGCGTTGGGGTTGGAGGGTAAGAATGAAGCGGAACCCAAAAATGGACGGACTTTTTAGAGTTGCACGCGTCTAATCTTTCCTTCCGGCGTTCTTTTCCTCTTGAACAACTGTGCTTTAAAGTAATTGTTGATTGTTGCACAATATTCAGCATCCTTATTATGAATTCACCATAAGTTTTCATATCCTTGGATCTCTATACTTATCTACCAAGCGTTATTCAGAAATTTTCTCACCCATCTGAGGACGCGTCTTGGCTTCACCTAATCCCTATTCGCCAAGCATCCTATTGTGCTGGATTTAGAGACCAACACAAAAGACAGGAATATAATTGTCGAAGACTGGCAAAATAGACCAGACGAGTCTGAATACATTTCCGGCCCTAAACACGGAAAGGAAGGAAGAGAAGCCTCATTGCCACTATTATTGTCTTCCCATCACTCCAGTATGGCACCATCTGAGGCATCCATTCTGAGCAATTTTCTGCTTTCACCTGCTTCATTGCCAACCATCATTTCCTTGCAACAATTCACGGATCTTTTTCCGAAGAAACTGCGGGCTCATCCTCATATCAGAATCCTCTACCGTGAGCTGCAACAATTGCGAGAGCAAGACATGGACACGGTCAATGAGAATATTGACAAGGAAGTCCGTCAAGGAGAGACCCAAAAGGCCGAACTTCGAAAAGCACTCATGAAGACCGGCGTTGACGGCATGGAGGAGAATGACCGCCGAGAAATGGACATGGATGTCCAGCTCTTTGGTCAGGGGATTAATGCTGCTTCCAGCGATTACCACTCCATTTCCAGCCTTTTGTCCGCAATGGAGACGGCATGCTCAAACATCGAGCATGAGATTTCCCAGATGGACCAAGAGGCAGCAACTGTGTTGTCCGGACTCAGCGCCACAGTTGGCGAGCTGAGTGATTTGCGTTACGGCAAAATGCAAGGGCCTGCAGGGTCATCTGGTGAAGAGATGGTAAAGGAGGCTATAGATGGTCTCGAGCATCTCGAGCAAGCCTGCTATCGTAAGACATCGCAGTGAATGCTGCTACGAGCATCCGAGCTTCTATAACGGAACGCTCCATCCCTTCTCTCGCCGTAGTATTTCCTGGGGATACAGCATTCTCGAGGACCGCAGCTTGCCAAACATCCCGCAAACTACGCGATGGCTGCTAACATATTGTTGCCCTCCGGAGCTTACCAGTATACCTCAGACGATCCAGATGTTTTTCTGGGGATGACCTTCGCACATCTTCTACAGAAGGTTCTCAACACACTCTTGCGGGCCCTTCGTTTGGAAAACAAGATCAACATTCAGCCTCTGAACGGCCTTTCTACGTCAAGTAGTCCGATATCTGATCAAAAAAGAGAACAATCTTTGACAGTCACCGAGGTGCACTCAAGTTTCAAGACCACCTTAAACACTGAGAAACCAAAGAGAGTCCTCGCCGCATCCACATATCTCGTTCTCATAAAGCCTGCTGCGTTCCAGAATCGTCCGTCCTGCCAGGGCCGGTTTAGAACTCGCCGATATTGATCTCCTCGAGCAAGGCCTGACCGACGAAGAATGCCATCTCATCTTCGGTGTCTGGCGCGCCCTCGATGTGTCCTAGATTGGGTGTTCCGAAAGTATCGAACGGGTATGGCTTTATTGGGGCTCTTTTTCTCCAATGGGCGGTCTCGTTCCCAGGCACCCTAGGCGGAGGAGAAAAGGGGGAATATCCAGACATACTTCTCATGGTACCGTCGCTCGTGAGCTCGTTGCTGCATGGCCAGGGAGCAACAGGCCGTTCAAGATGGAAGCTCGTAGAAGGCAGCCATATCGTCTCCATTGCCAGCACGGAAGATCGAGCGTCTTTGAACGTCTTGCCAGCGAATGGCTGAATTGAGGTTTTTGCCTGACTGGCTCGTTGTGAGGCTCTAAGTGTGCGGTGTTGAGGTTCGACCTCCTGGGCCGTTTGATTGATGGACACCCGATGTTCACGCCATTCACAGTAGGCTTGAGGGACATTTGGCGACTCGGGCGCGATAATCAGAGAGTCTTTCGAAATCCTCACGAATCTGTCAACTTCCTTGATTATGTCTGAGATCCATGTCTTGGAAGAAGTGTGTGACATGTTTGCGATTGTATGTCTCTGACCAGCGTGGCCTTCGCCCTTGTTCGACTGTTAGCCTACTTGCAGTCGGTCACATGGCAGGGCTTTTGTCGTACTTCCTTGGGAAGCTCTAACAGCTTGATAGTGGAGTACTCTGGACTAAGATCACTCGCGTCTGGTAAGGAAAGGTCAGTTATATCCGGGTGCAGAGACGCGGAACATGTTTGGACTCTTTTAGCAATCTCAGCTTGTTCGACAGAGAAGGAATCGAGGCGATCGACAGATACAGACTTGTCATTTCTCTTGAACTTACATATCAGTCTCAGTCGATCGCAATGCAGAGAACCGTTTTTCTCTTGTACAAGGCGCAAAGTTTGCTGAATGCCAGATATGCTTGTGTTGTTGGTGTGAGAAAAGCACCTGAGAAAGGAGATATGGGCAAGATGCAGAAGAAGCGTCATAGAAGATCCTGTTTTATAAACACTCTAACGATCAATGCCTTGTACAGCGCTAGTGAAGTTCGTGAACGTGTTGGTCAATCATCCGTCACCGGTCACGCTAGTCATGGAAATTTGAAGATATTATCTAGCAAATATCTAGTGTTCATTCACGGCACAGCTTATGACTATGATAGTGCCCTCGCTTGAGTGGCTCTATATGGCAGTTACCGGGTTGTCTCTCTTTGTCTATGTCCGTAAGAAACAACAGGCTAAGGACTGATGTGCTTCATCAACTTGAGCCATGTGCAGCACTTCTGTTGTTTCTCTGATGAAATTTGGAAACCATAAATTTTGGTGCTCGTACCAGTGTCCACTGGTCAATGCACCTAATCGGGAAATAAAATGTCTGATCGTCTAAAAACGTAGTAGATGGCGATGGGGACTGGTAGAGGAGAGTATACCTCTCATGCCTCCATGCACTCACTAATGATATTGTGCTGGATATTATATCTGCTTATCGATAAGCGATAAGACCAGTTGATTCTGAGCAACGCGCTAATCCCTCCCTCCAAATCTACAAGACCTACACATCATTTGCCTATTGTATATTGTGTCAAACGCCAAAAGCCAAATTGTTCCCAAAGAAACTATTATTGGATTGAATATAATCCACAAGAATCATCACAAAATCTCTCAAGCCAAAATGCCGTCGATACCCCTCCATCCTCACGCGTCGAGCTCTCCCCTTCACCCGCACAACCCACTCCCCAAATCTTACAAACGCCCTCAGGTCTGGCAATCCTCGAACTACAAGGCACAATTAACCTCCCATCCCTCGACGATCAGGGCGCGGTTCCTCGCCCCGCCGATGCCGAAGATCCCAACGCTGCCATAACCGCGTTCGAGACGCCAATTGGCAAACTCATGTTCCCTGACTACTCGCCGCAAACCACGTCACCAGACGACACGAAATGGATGAAGCGAGTCTATCTATATGTTGGTCAGTATCAGCGGATGACGGGGGAAGTGAAAAAACTGGCGCAGCCACTCGCGTTGGTGCAGAAGCGTAAGAAGCGTCCCGACAACGACGGGATCGCCGAGGCCGAGGGCGAGGAATTGGAGATTGTGGAGATCATCAAGTACAAGCTGCTTTTCAAGAATCGGCCGGAGCCAGTTAATGATAGTTGATGGGATGTGCTGGAGTGGTGCAAATGCGAATGTGATACAGAGCCAGCGTTCGAGAGCTACGAAGGACACTGATCCTGTCCCAGGACAAGCCGAGAAGCGTCGGGACATCTTGTCGCTATGGCTTACAGAACGGCCTGAGAAATTAGGGGCTTCGATACGGGAGGCGCGGATGTCTTACGCGAGACCGCGAGAAGGTGATACAGAGTCTCACGTGCTTCTACCTCCTAGGTTTGAGGCATTACCGACTCCCAACGGCCAGTATCAGCAATGAGGAGGCCGATTTGCTTCAAGAAGAACTATCTCATCTCGAATTCGACGCAGAGAGTGGAAGTTTGTTCTACAGAAGCTGATCATATGCCATGATATTAATTGTACGAGGATAGCAATGAATAAATCCGACCTGGATGGATTCTCCGAGTCTCAGTCATACCGCGTCAAGGCTAAAATGACGCCTCCAAAACCGTTGAAAAAAGCGTCGCACTATTAAGCATGAGCCAAGTCTGGTTGGCTGGCTGGTTGCAGGGATTACGGAACACCGAAAGTCTATTAACAATTTGTGACGAAGGGCCGGGACCGGGTCGGTGAAGCGATAGATATGATATGAGAGATACCTCTAATAATAATTTCTTCTACTGCCAATAATGATTACGAAAACATGCGAAAGCTTCACCCCTGCGTTCTCTTTCCCTGTGCTACCCCTGAGGCAAATAATTTCCACTCTCCCATGTTAAAGCCATGACGGTCTCAAATAAGGTCGAGGAGAACATCTTCGCTTCCAATTTAGGCCCGGAATATGTGGGATTTGACCACATTACGTGGTATGTGGGCAATGCGAAGCAGGCAGCTTCTTACTACGTGACCCGGATGGGGTTCAAGCAAATTGCTTATCGCGGTCCTGAAACCGGTTCTAGAAGCGTTGTATCGCACGTTGTCTCCAACGGCCAAGCTACCTTCGTTCTCACTTCTCCCATCCGTTCCATGGCAGGGACAGGCGGATATGATGATGATCCTGATGTTACCGAGGCAGATCGGAAATTGTTGGAGGAAATTCACAGTCATCTAAACAAGCACGGCGACGGTGTCAAGGATGTTGCTTTCCGAATTGAGGGCAATATCGAAGCTGTCTGGAAAAGAGCAGTAGATCACGGAGCTGCTCCAGTTGCGGCCCCGACAACCTTGAAGGATGACCGGCATGGTTCAATCACCCTGGCCACGATCGGTACCTATGAGGATACAGTGCACTCGCTGATCAATCGTCACGACTACTCCGGCCCCTTTCTACCAGGCTATGAAGCAGTAACAGACGGCGATCCCATCAATCGGTTGCTGCCATCGATCGACTTCATCGAGATAGATCATTGCGTTGGCAATCAACCGTGGAACGGTGTCAATCCAATTGTCAAGTAGTATGTATAAGTGTCCGCGCTGTCTTAAGGGCGAAGGTTGCTAACCATCGTCATTTCAGCTACGAAGACTGCCTTAACTTCCATCGGTACTGGACTGTAGATGACTTAAACATGTGTGGCGAATATTCCGCCATGCGGTCGATCGTCGTCGCCTCGCCTAACGAAGTGATTAAGATGCCCATGAATGAGCCGGCTCAGGGTAAAAAGAAGTCACAGATCGAGGAGTAGGACATTGCTGCACCGCCTGGTTAAACAAGTGTCTGAGCTGACCAACTGACAGGTTCGTGAACTACTACAACGGCGCAGGCGTCCAACACATTGCCTTCCGAACCCACGACATCGTCACAGCTGTCACGCGCCTCAGAGAACGAGGTGTATCATTCCTTGAAGTCCCCAGCGCATACTACTCGGACCTACGTCAGCGACTGTCACACACTGGACTAACACTCGAGGAGGATATTGCCGTTCTTGAAAAGCTTCATATTCTGGTAGACTTCGACGAGAAGGGATATTTGCTTCAAATCTTTTCCAAGCATGTGCTCGATCGGCCCACGGTGTTCATCGAAGTCATCCAGCGCAACAACTTTGATGGTTTTGGAGCTGGGAATTTCAAGAGTCTGTTCGAGGCTTTTGAACGTGAGCAAGCACGAAGAGGTAATCTTTAGACTAATTCGTGATATCCGGCGGCCCGGGTCATCTCTGTAGACTAGACTAGCTTAAATCAACATCTCACTATCCGATTCGTAAACCAAGCTCGACCAGCACCGTAGTCAGGAACGATGACCAATATGCAGGTGAAGGTTGAGTGGGAGAAGAGCGAGCACTTGTGGTAATTCACTTAGCCGAAACTCATCAGACAACAGGGCGGAATATGGCGCTCGCTACGGAGGATTTCCGCGCTTCCTCTTCACCAGCGGAATCGTCAACAAAAGTGCGCAAGTATGGACATACGACTCAGATGTGCGAAGCGATAGATGACGACGGAGGATACAGACGAGCGAATTCCCTTCTCGTAGTGTTCAACATCTCAGAACTGTGTGGTTTCAGACAGGCATTGCAGAGTACCTTAAAGTCGCTGTTGAACCGAGGGTAGATACTACTTCACGCATCCGTCGGAACAACTCACTCGTCGGCAGTCGGGCCTGTACTACACAGTCCCATACACAATAAATCGGATCCAATTCCAAGAAGCATATAGATAGGGCCTCAAAGAACTATCATATCAATCATTAGGAAACCCGAAAGCCCACGAATACCCCACACCGCGGAGATCCCCCAGGCCCAGATAAATACCCGATGATATCCATCCGGTAGCGGAAAGTGGGTGGTACGAGACTACGTGAATCAGCCTCCCGTCCTCTCCAATTCCATCTCAAGTACCTCTCTACGTTACGTTATCTTAAGAGATACCGGTATATTCACCTTCTGCGAAATCAACACACTCAGAGTCTTGATAATGGCCCCCATCGAACGCATCACTCTTTTCAACGTCCCCAAGGCGGAAGACCGTGCCCGCATCTTGGAGCAGTACAAGGTTCTTGCGAAAACTGCAGTGAAGGTTTGTTTCTTCCGGCTCTGAAGTTTAATGGGTATTAAGCAATCACAGGATGGGAAACCGTATATTCTCAGCGCGGCGGCTGGCGAGTCGTTCCCGGATCCTCGCAACAAGGGATTCAATATCTCTGTGAAGACGACCTTTGCCTCGATGGAGGACATGGAGTACTATGATAACGAGTGTGAGGCGCACAAGGCGCTGAGAGCTGTGGCGGGGCCGGTGAAGGAAGATGTTCTCACGACTTATTTCCAGAGCGTTCTGTGATGGATTCTATCTTGTTTGGTTCGCTTCAAGAATTATGGTGATATGATTACGGGAATAGAGGACCGGTCATGCTTGTATAGAAGAAAATCTAGGCTGAATGCCGAGTTCATGCACATATTTGGATAATCTCTATTCGATGATATACATGGCATACATCAAGTATGCTCTTTGCCATAATCGAAATCCAGAACTCTCCGGGTCACGGACCTGGGAATAGTATCCAGTCAACATGATTAAGATTACCGGTTCAGCACAAATGCGGCAAACTGAGACCCAGTAATAGCAATTATGTCCCTCGCAAGCGCATCACATATCTCATCAAAGCTGTCGAAGGCAGGTGCTTGTAGTCTTCCTTCCCAGTAATCACAGGCCGAGGGGAACGAAAGACGGACGGAGGTAACAATGAAAGGACATTCTCTACACTTCGACATACATGTAACTGCACAGTAGAGCTCCCGTATGCATGCAGTATAAGCTGGTCATGACCGGCGGATAGGCGTCATAAAATGTACATAGAAACTGCGTGTGCCACAATGGCTCCGTGTGATTAGCGGTTTGGCAAAGTCGAGCTCGGATGATACTGCTGAACGTGGTAGAGGACGCGGACTGGCGTTGCATAACACATTTCGCAAGTCTAATCAAGAGCTTTGCGAAGATCACTCCATTTCTGTTTGAGGTTCTCGTACTTTTCGTGTATCTGCAGCAAAACGTTAGATCGGGACAGATCATCCAAACAATCGCTGCATGCTTACCTCAGCCCATTGCATCTTCGCCTCCACGAGCTCCCTCTCCATCTCCGCCATCTGCTCTGACAAAGATCGATTTTCGTTTTGAACTTCCATGTTGCGCTTCATTATCCGGTCCATTTCTGTGCGAAGCTTCTCCTCAACCTCTGCGGGCTGCTTGTCCACAACGATCTTCAGCTCGCTAACCTGGAGTTTTAGAGCATCATTGATGTCGGTGAGCTCCTCATTTTCCACCTTGAGGTGCACGAGTTCTGAAGCAAGCTGTACATGCTCTTTATCAGACGCCTCGGCTTGCTCTTCTAGGAGGCGTATCCGAGCACTTTGGCTGGCCACAGTGTTCCTGAGCCCCTCCAGTTCAGCTTCACGCTCTCGCTCCGTCCGCACTTTTTCTTCCCACTGCGCGGTGTAGGCGCTAATCGTTCCGGAGGCCAGAGTAATCGCACAAGCGTCCTGCACCATGATATCCGCCCTATAGACCTCCTTGTCCGCTGCGCCAGAGCTGCCGAAGAACCCCGACTCAAGAATCGACGATGGCGAAGGCTGCTTGTCAATGTAGACATCGAACAGGCGTTCTTTCAGGAAAGCAGTCAGTGGTGTCATGTCCTTCATTGTCAGTAGGGTCTCAGCATTGCGGCGCATGATAGCGATTGCAAACTTGAGAATGGTGCTCTCAAGACCTTCCTCGAATATCAAATCGTAGATTCGGAGGACAAGTTGTAGCGGGAAACGATAAGCGAAAAGGGTGAGAAACCATTGAGTGGCATAGAGTTGGGGATGCACGCCTCGCCGGCGAAGGTGACAGTAGAGGGCTGGCTCCCAGTCCTCCAGCAGACGTTCGAAGACGTACAAATTGCGATGGAGACCAGGCATTTCATTGATAAACATCTCCCGCAGGCCATACTTGTTCATCAGCTTCACTAGCAACGTGAAGGCCTCGGCCTCATCCATCTACGGGGACTTGTAGTTAGATAATACGATTCTCCCACTGAGTGCAAGTTAGGGTTGAATCCTTACGTTGAATAGAAGTGGCATGACAATAAAGTTCATCCCCTGCGCATATCCCACGGCCTCATCGTAGAGAGCGTAGGCTTTACACAGACCGAACAGGCCTTCTTGGTTTCCTTGTGACACAAAGTACCGAGAATAGCTGGTGCGCGCGCCAAGATCGCGACGAATAGCCTTCTCCAGCTTTTGGAGTGCCACGGCATCTTCCTTGGCTCTCTTTTTGCGAGCTATCTCGTTAGCCGCCTGCTCTTTAGCCAGCTTTTCTGGATCAATCTCTTGGGAGGGGCTCGGAGAAGATCCGTGGTTCGAGTGCGCGGTTGAAGTTTCTGATCGCACAGACGCGCGAGATGAAGCCAGGGGCTCCTGTTCCCCTGTACCGTTTGTGACTTGCTTTTCTTTATCCGTGCCGCGGGCAACGAGATCTCTGTAGACCTCTTCCAGCTCCGGATTCCTGCTGTCAGCCAGAATCTGCCAGATGACTCCTCGAATGGTCTGGGGGATTCCTCGCTTGATGGCCGCATTAATCTCTTCTGAATTCGGCCCTTTGAGCGCCTGAGGACCATCGTTTACAAGTTTCTGCCACAGCTCCCAATCGACAGGTGCAGACGCATCGGTGGCAGATGCAGATAATCCCGAGACCGTACCCGGAGGCAGATTGGGATTAACTGTATTCGGAACAGTGGGCGGCGAAGCAAGAGGTGGAGTAGAGGCATGTTCTTCTTCTTCGGGTATACTGGGAGGACTTCCAGCAGAATGACTGATGCTTGCCCGTCCTGACGCGACACTTGCTCCGTCGTTCTCTGAAACCAGTCCTTCATCCCGCATCCTCAGTAACTTGAATTGGTCCTTTAGGCTGCTGCGCCTTGGTCTCCTGGCCGCTGAACCATCCAAATCTTCTCCGTCATGCTTGGTCAATTCGGAATTGCTTGAGAGAGTAGAGACGGACGCGGCCGTGTTGCGCCGACTAGTTTGGGGTGGAGGCGACTTGACCTCGCGACTCGCCGTTGAGCTTCGGGAAAGCCAGGCGAATGGGCCAGTGAGTTTTCGGGTCATGGGCGGCGCTGGAGCAGGAACCGCTGGGGCCGGGTTCTTGTTCACGGGAGGTGATCCCCACGAGTTGGAAGGGAGGTTGCCAGATAGTCCCTGGAGGGGCATGCTTTGAGCGGAGGATGCTGATTTTCGGGAAGGTAGAGGGGGAACTTCGGACATGGGCTCCTGGCCCAAATCATGATTCTGCAGGGTAACGTCATCTAAGTTGTTACTAGCAAGATTCACCTCGTCAAGAGAAGTCGTCGATAGTCGGTGGGTCGTCAACAAGGGCGATTTTGGAGATCTGGTCCTGCGAGGCGTTTCATCCGTCCCGGACTGCCTTTCCGACCTGGCATCTTCAGTGTCCTCATCCTTCTTATCTTCCTTCTGAGTAACAGATGGGAGAGACGGCGCTTCGGTGAACTGAGGTGTTGCACCTGTTCCGTTCGGAGGGCTGTCTGTGAGAGAGCGTGTGGATGAGCTCTGAGGAATCGAGACCGTGAGGCTGGGGTTGCTGGTAGTCTGTACTTCAGAGGCGTCATCGAATGAGTCCTTATCAACATCATCGTCAGTCAATATTTCCCAAGTAGGAACAAATGCCGGGAAAGACACTCACAACGTTGTACTCGGCACTGGTTCGTCCGGAAGACATGGTGCACTCGGCCGCCTGGAGCCAGCTAGGCGGACGATTTCGATCTTAGAGAAAGCTCTTTAAGGGTCTGTAAGATATTTTTGATCATGAAATAAGAGGTGCCGGGAGATCAGGACAACAAAAGTCCATGATAGGGGAGGGAAGGGGAGGCGAGCAGTGGGCGGAGGTGCGATAAGTCCGAAAGGGAGCGGAGGTTGGATGGTCAGAACTCAGAACGGATACAAAGCCACCAGGCAACTCTTGGGTTGCAAAAGGGGCGAAGGGAAAGGAAAACAAGTAAGACAAGCAGAAGTTCAAACAATGGCTCGATGGTTGACTAACTACTTACTCTTGAGTCCCTTGGAGTTGGGAGTTGATAACTCTCTCCGCTCAATAATGGATCTAAGGTACCGTTATTTTGATGGGAGAGCCAAGACTGTTTCTGGCTAGTACCTTAGGTCTCGACCTAGTTCTACGGTTGGGAGAGGGCGAGTTGGCTGGCCCACAGTTCCAGGTACCAGTTGCCCACTGTTCTTATTTTTAAGCTCTCATCGTTATTGTTACCTACTCAACTGACTTTGATGGTGGTCTACGTCAATCTACAATCTGTTCGATGGAGGATGTAGTTAATAGTTGCTGTGACCACTGAGACGCTCCCACCGTGTAACTGAAACGCTGTTGCCACTTGTTATTCTGAAACTGGTCAGATGTTAATTTCGAGATGGATGTCACCCGCTCCACACTTGATCGGCGGAACTTCAAGAGACAATACTGTACAAGGTAGATAAATAATCCAGATTATGCGGTTCAGGGTCACCATGGAATCGTCGTGGAATTACCACAACATAACCAAATCGTTCATACATCAGCGCAGAGAGACTTCTCAAAATCTAGCCATCGTCCACATCGTAGCGGATCCAACTTCTTTAGTTCAGAAAGCCAGCTTAAAATGTTCTCCTTGTCGGTACTGGGCATAGTCCCTTTCACTTTCCTTGCCAAAAGGGTACAGTCGATCAGCGCCTGGTATATGTATTTGCAATCCTCTGCCCCATCAAGCATGTCTTGAATCTCGTCGATCTCCTTGCGCAAATATTCTAACCGTTCATCATTATTGAGATTTGGCGCCATCGTCTGATCTGATAATGAAGGATCAAAAGTACACATCAGGTTCTGGTGATAGAACCACAGCGACTGATCGTAAGGGTCACACAGAGCACGGTGGATGAGATCCAGTTCTGCTATCCCTGTCAGCATCGTCCCAGCAGCAGCCACATATTTAGATCGAATGGGGAACTGACCATCGTCGAGCATCTTCTTGCGTGTCTCGTCACTGGCGGACTGCTCGCTCAGCAGTCGCTGGATGAGCTTCGTGCGATAGTGCCAGGCAGAGAAATTGGACAAATTCGTGCCTATCATCTTCTTCGCGTACTCAAATTCACCCTGTGCCATGCTTCGCACTTCCTGGTCTTCTGGTGCAAGTTTTTCCAATGATTCTACGACAAATCGTCTGTAACCCCAGCCATGGAAGTTTCTGCTATCCAAGCTAAGCATCTTACCCACAAGGGCAAGCTCTTCCTGCCAGAATTTCCGAGCAACAGCTCGAGGGAGAAGACGCTTGGCTTCATCAAGGAGCCACATGCGATAGTTCCATATCCAGTAGCACTTGGGAAATTTCCGGAGGAGGGGTATCAGGAATTGCAGATCATTTTTGATCAGCGCTGCTATCTGACTTGTTACAGCTTCCTCTGAGTTATTAGATGATGCCAAATTGAACTCATGTTGCAGAACCCTCCGTCGGTAGTTCCATACTGTATAGTATTCTGGGTTGCTGCTCAGTAATTCAGAGATCTTTTGCAGAGTTTCAGGTGTATAATCATGTCCAACGATCTGGTAAGCTTCATCAGTCTTTTGCCGTTTATTACGAGGTATAGATGAAGATAAACGGGAAATACGAGCAGGAGAATCGAATCCTACCTTGTCACGAACAAGCCGGTCAAGCGCTTGATAGTTTTGAATTTTGCGTAATTCCTGTTGGAGGCCCTCTTCCGATCGCTCTCCCAACGAGCTGTAGCGGGGAATTCCATGCTACGGAACAAAAGTTAGTCCAAAGGTGTAGATATTACATTTGGTCAGATCGTTGAACTATACACCAGCCATATTGAAGTAATAGTCACATCAGCATATGCAGGTCGTTCTGGACTTTTCCTGCGAGACACTTCCTTCGGGGATCGACACGTATGGTGAAGCAGGCGTAACGCTTGCCTAACAGAAGCTGCCTTCCAGATTCAGAAGGGTCACGTGCTTTGCCCTCATACAAGGACAACCAACACAACCACACACACTGCCTATACTCTCTTTTGTATCTGACAATCTCGGGCCCTATTATGATCCAACAATGTGCTGGTCATCAATAGCTTTTACTTATGGCCCCGTGTTTTGCTAGCGGTGCGATATTTCATTCCTTTTCCATAGCGCTTATCAGCCCACATACTATATACATTTTGTCTCTCGAACGCGTTACAGAATGACAAATTCGACATGTCGCTCTTCAAAGAGCTCAGAAGTCTCTGCAGCAAGCAGCTTTTTGCATGATACGCAATCGACAACCAAAGAACGCGAGTCCATGCGATTAGTCGACTCTGCTACCATTCCTTTGCCTCTATCTGATACATCAAGTGAATCTTCGGACGAAGTACAATCTCTTTTGCCTTCCTTCGAGAGGCTCTCTATTAGCTCATTTGCTTCTGAAAGTGCATGCATGAAGAACCGCAGGCAGCAGATCCAAAATAGCACAGACGGTTTTGGAGCTACGACGCTCCTGTCGACAGTCAAGGAGACCGCTACTGAGAGAGGTCGCGGAAGATTTAGGCGGACTTTCGATGGCGTTGTAATGGTAAAAGGCTCTAGGAGCCCAAAATCTCCAGACAGATTCATCCCCTTGAGAGAGTTCATTGATCCTCCGTCCACACCGTTGCGAGTGGGAAAGCCTACGCAGACCCTGACCCCTGAAGAAAAGCTTCTGCGACAACGCACACCAAGGTCAGATCCCTTTATGCCTGAGCGGCCTCGCAGATCTGCAAGTGTCCCGAGAATACAATCCGGGCATACCTTCAGCCCTCACTATATTCCCCACCTCATCAGCGGCTCAGCTATCAGGAGTGGCAGTGAGTTCGGACCACGGGACCCCCTCAGACAGGTCAGCGCTGGGGCCGTATGGAGCGTCGGCGGGACGTCTGCCATGCTAGGTAGACAATTTATAGGGATACCTGGTGACACGAGAGGTCGTCTTGCGAGTCGAGCGATCGCTCCAGTGCATACGGCCAGATTTTTCTCTCAAGCCGCGTCGTCCGAAGAGCCAGAAAAGCACGAGTCGAGAGTGGCTCTGGCTTTGAATATCGACCCGATAGTCAAGATACTGAAGTGCAGGCTATGGCCACTGCTCGAGTCGAAGCCGAGTCCGTCGCACCCTGATTACGAACGTTTCTCTCCGTTAACATGGAAAGGCAGTGCTTGGAAAAGGGGAGAGGCAGATCAATGTAAGTCAAGGAATTTGCTTCCTTTGTTTAGTGAATCTTCAACATTGAATGAGACAGCCTCAATGATGGAGCTATCATTCCAAAATCTACGAAAGCATGCTAGCTTACAGGACTATGCTTGATGCCACCCCTTAGGCACAAAAAAGATACTTTTGTTTGTCCGGGTCACTCACATATCAAAGTTTTTCAATGACATATAATATCACATAATTGTTCTTTGTAGAGACGGGGAGTATCGCTCTCCAAACGATCTTTGGAGGTGCTAACGTTTGTGCCTGACAGGGACGTCGACCGGTGCAAAAGAGGACGCTGAGAGCATCGTACCAGCACGCCCATTCCGGATCCTGGACGCCCCTTATCTTCGCGATGACTTCTATTGCACAACGCTCGCGTATTCACCTACCTCTGGAGTTCTCGCCGTTGGGCTTGCCCATCGCGTGTATGTTTGGTCGGAGATTTTTGGCGTGCTGTATCCCCCCTTCGCGGACCATCATCCCTCAGATTTCGTAATCTCTCTATCTTTCTCGTCCGAGAGCGGAGGCAAAGACATTCTGGCCGTCGGAAGGCGAAGTGGGCTGGTCACCCTCTGGAGTGCTCCTGAAGCCGAGCCACGCTATGAAATTAGTCATCCCAACAGTATCACTTCGGTGGCTTTCAGGCAAACAGTGACGCGCAGGTTCTCTGAGCGATTCCACAACGTTGAGGTCAATACAGAGGACCTTGCCGTCGGCGATGAACTTGGCAACATATGGTACTACTCAGTAGAATGGTCCAGTGAGGAGATTCGAGAACAATTTGGTTGGAACGGTGCTATCACCCTACTTGCCAGAATTTCCGCACATACTCAGAGGATTTGTGGTATAACGTGGTCTCCAGATGGCGCCTACTTGGCCACTGGAGGAAATGATAACGCGTGTCTAATCTTCGAGCTCCGTGACCTCATGCCCTGGCGACAGCTCAACCGTACAACAAAACCTTGTAAATCAGCTCAAACCTGCCAGTCGATAGGCGTGCAATGTCAGAATGCATTCTCTTCCCTTTCTGCAAGCACAAGCAAGCGACTATTCAGGCGGCGTGACTTTCTCAATTTGCTTCCTTCATGGTCTCACTTTCGCCTCGGTTCTTCGCAAGCATCACTCCTTAAACACACCGAGTCGCTCGCCTTGGGGACTGAGAGAACGGTAACGATACCCCCAAATAGACAGAAGCATATATTGGCTCATGCGGCGGCCGTCAAAGCAATTGCCTTTGCGCCATGGCAACCGTCTCTCCTTGCCACCGGAGGCGGCTCGAACGACCGAGCCATTCATTTCTGGCACGCCCCGTCTGGGGCGTGCCTGGCGTCCATCAATGTGTATGCACAAGTGACTAGCCTTATTTGGAGCAAAAGGCGAAGGGAGATTGTCGCCACTTTTGGGTTCGCACAGCCAGAGCACCCGTACAGGATCGCTGTCTTTGCGTGGCCGAGCTGCGAGCAGATCGCTGCAATCCCGTGGGGTCCGTATGGCACTAGTTGGGATGGGATAAGCAACGCTGGTGCAATTCATTGTGGGCGCGCTATCTGCGCTGTGAGTTACCCGGGAAAGTCACATGTCCTTATGCAGGATCTTCTCGATCGTGCGACCAGCATCTCGTCTTCAGCGTCCACGATCCAGCGCAGGCGAGGGCAAAGCGAACCCTACCGCCGTACATCGCACCCTATTCAATTACGACCAAGTGCAAAAGAAGGAGGCCTATGGTGCCCTCGGACGCTGGATGAGGGATGCATTATCGTTGCGTCCAGTGACCAGACTGTAAAATTTCACGAGGTGTGGAGTGGGCCAAGGAAAAGTACGGCGGCAGCTTGCGGCCCTTTCGGGGGCAGCCAGATTCTTGAAGGACTTGAAGGGCTAGAGAAGCCAGGGGACGAAATCATCAGATAGTTGGGATCTTCTCTTGTGCGAATGCCCCCGTGTTCCAGTTCTGGTGCGATATAAATTCATATCGACGAAGGCGGAGGACAATGACCAGAGAAGAGTAAATATTTTTAATGTATCCTTACGTATCCCCTATTGAGCCAATGGCCATATTCTCCTATCTCGCCGGTGCTTATCGAGTCCGGACCAGACCATTATTTGGCTCCTCCCCAAGATCTTCGAACCGTCGATCATCCGATAGTGTCGATCATATTGTCTTTGCCCTGTGCACAGGAACAATACACACAGTGTATACCTGTACCCCTACTACATAGTCCCTAGTTTGTACGAGGCCTATTGAAGAATAATATAGAGAGTTAAACACGCCAAAAGTCCAACCGTGCTCCATTCAGCAACTGCTGAACGCAATATTAGTCTCGTCTGTGAGCGATAATTGGGCCCTTCAATCTTCGCAAGGGTTGACTGGGCATGCATAATCGCGTCCTTCTACTGGCTCAAATACTAATCAGGCAGCATGGATCGACATTCCGCAGAGATCAATAGCGCGGTTCAAGTACAAGACTTGCCTAACTTGGTTGAGATTGATGGAAAGTGATACTCAAGCTCAGGCTTGCAACTTAAAACCAACTTACACAAGCAGCTTATCGCCATCATGGTGTCCTTTTTGCAGGTTGTGGCATCCATTCTCCCAGGTGCCATTGCGGGCACATCTATGCCTACCACCCTCAACATCACGGTCATCGGCGCCCGAAACAACCAGTCGACCCTGGAATGCTGGTCACTCGAACCGGGCTTCGCTTCATCAACTCAACCAGGTATTGCAGGCAGCGCTTCGCTCACCCTAGGACCTGTAGGGGACAACGCGACCTACACTATTGTTCCTGCTCAATTAGATGGCGGGATACACAATGCTCCCGTGAGACAGTAAGTATCATTTCCAGTTTTCCCTACTCATGTCGTCCACAAAAGCCAGATAGGAACGGAGCGTTGCTGATTTGAGGAAAGGTGGGTGATTTTCCTCTCTGGACTGGCGCATATCACTTTGCCGCATTCAGATGACGAGGCCTGGATTCTGGGGGGCAAGCATGGGATGATCTTGGCGTTGGATACGGCGGATGTTAGCGCGGATGGGCATTATACGGAGTATCCAAGTGATGAAGTGACGGTTGCAATGGCTGTGCCTTTAGGGGATGAGGAACCAGCGCATCGAGTGTTGTATCAGGGTGCTTGTAAAGCGACGGAGGTTGATTTTTGAATGATGGTTGATTGCGTTGCTCGGGAAAGAGAATATATATTTATCATTCCACCATGCAGATCAGTCATATTTGGCGAGCAAGTCATGATCAGATAGTTTAGAACTCGTATGACTCTCATTTGCGGGATGATCAGGGCCAGAGGAATCTTGAGATTAGGTGCGCATATCCAAGAATCTAGGTAGTAACTAAATGTATACATCGAATGGTGTGCCCTTCCACCCTCTAATGCAATCACAGTTGGCGGCCACAGTCCAGAAAAAATGAAAGTCTCTTTTACTTTTGTTCAAAAAAAAAATATCCATCCACATAGCAACAGATCACAGAAAAGTGGCAAACAAGAACCAGACACGAGAACCCAAAGCAGAAGAATCAGGGTATTATCTATTTCCTTCCCGACTTCTTCTCTTTTCCTCCACTACCGCCAAACTTGGCTTTCTTGGACGGTGGGGGTTGCGCAGAGAGTCCATCGTCATCAGACTCCTCATCTTCGGTGTCGGCGATGAAGTCTGCCATCGAGCCTGCACTTTCCGCATCATCGTCATCCTCGTCGTCCTCGTCCTCCAAAGATTCCTCGGCGTCAGAAGAACCAACAGACTCTTCCGCCTCAACGTCGAACACGTCTTCCTCGTTCTCTTCCTCCTCATCGCTGCCTTCATCTTCTTCATCATCCGACTCGTCCCGACCGGACTGCTCACCGTCAATCATGGACTCGTCCTCGTCGTAGGTCTGATCGCGTATCGACTTGGTCCGCGGCGTTACTGCGTTCTTCGCGGTGTCGGCATCGCTATCCTCATCCTCCAACTCTTCCTGGCCTTCGACGTAAATGACGTTGTCCTCGTCCTCGCTATCCATGCCCTCGGCTCCGCCGCGGAGGGACTGTCTAAGTCCCAGCTGCGCATGCAACATGTCGAGTTTGCCCTTGAGCAACAGCAAGGACGACAGACTCGACGAGCGCTGGTCCATAACCTTGAACAGGGTAGACATCCGCTTTAGCAGTTCTGGCTTGCCGGCGAGAGCGCCACCATGAGCAACACATGTCCACTGTACCCACACGAGAAGGTGTCCGTACCGGCCCGGGCGAGATGAGAGACGCTCGGCCAGCTTCTGGAGCAGAGTGGCGGCGAGCGAGGAGTCGAGACGTTGAATGGTTTCACGGACAATGGTAAGGTCACCTGTATGGAAGCATGATTCGAGCATCCCATTGTCGTTTGTCTTGAGTGACTGCGAAAGGACCGTAGACAACGTGACGCCAGAGGTGATCTGCTGCACCGCTGCGCTGGGTTTCCCAGGGACGAGAGATCCGATACGAACGTCGTCCTCAAGCTCGGCTTCCACATCAATTTCTTCCGAAGCATTGGCCCGCAAAAGCTCGCCAAAGGATGGCTCTCCCGTTTCGTCCTCTTCCGCATTTTCTTCATCTCCGGCTTCTGATCGCATCTCAACGTCACTATCCGCATCCTTCTTCTGCTTCCGCTGCCGAGTTTCCTTCTTCTCAACCGACTTCTTCGCATCATCGACGTCGTCCTCCTCCGAATCCTCCTCACTGTCCGGCACTGTTGCATCCGCCCTCGTGTCTTGCATCTCGACATCATCCTCCACGAGGTCCCCTTGTTCGACCACTGCTCGAGATTCATCGACTTGGGTCTCACCTGCAGCTCGAACTCCATTCGTTATAACCGAGGCAAGAACCGAGCTAGACTTGGTCTTGACAATCTTCTTCAACCCAGTGAAAGCTAGCTCCTCAGTATCTATATCAATGCAGTTGATGCGCTCAAAGACCGGAATAATGCCTCCTTCGGCCCACACAACTAGAATATCAGTTCCTTGGAAAGTTGCTGCAACGACAGGTACAGAGGCATCCGAAGTCTCAGACTGAGTGATCTTGATTGAAGACTCCGCCCGCCTCGTCAGCTGCCTTCCCCTCGCCTTGAGACTGGTCTTGGAGCTCTGATCCTTTGGCGGCACGAATGGTCTCGTGAAAAGTTCAATAGTGCCATCTTCGGTCACAGCTGCGAGGATTTGCTTCTCGATTGCCAGAGCGTCATCTGTTTTTTGTCCTGCACCCGAAGTCAACGCCAAGGATGATACTTCTGTATCTGCAACGAGGTTCAACACAAGCTTGCGGCCCTCAATGTCAAAGACATTGATGTAGCGATCGCCATCTGAGGCAAGAAAGAGAGCTGTTGCGAGGGATTCTGTGGAGGAAGTGATAATTTCCCGAATCTGGTTCCGCATCGCTGGGAATGATGCAGTCGATTCATCTCCCTCAACGTCGATCAGGTAGGGCGTTTGAGAGGCGCAAACGACAGGCGGATTGGAGGGCACGGGGCGAGAAAGGGTGCTATAACCTGTGGATGCTGGTAGATGAATTGTTCTACAAAAAACTGTCAGTTGGAGTTATATCGAGATATCAATGAGTTGAAGAAACCAACCTGGTACTCTTCCCGGTGCGTAGATCCCACTGCACTAGTTTGTTATCACCACCAATACTCCAACCTTCCTGACCCGGTCGGTCCGCAGTGAACTTAAAATCCACAACACCTTTGTCATGTACACCCTCGAGTGCCCCCACAATCTTGTCTTCGGTAGGCGAGTACATGCGGATTTCGGAGGCGTTTGTACCAAAAGCAACAACTATATCCCCTTGCTCGAGTCCATTGCTAGCACCATTGACATCAGAATGGCGCTTCCGCTTCTTCTTCCCTTGCTGGTCACGGTCTCTTTGTCTGCTAGGGAAGTAGCCCCAATCTAGAGATGTGACAGTCTCCTTGGGACCCAGGACATGTTCGCATTGTAACCGGCCGGTATTTGTGTCGTGAATTCGGAGGTGCTGACCATCGAGACCCTGAATGACAGACGCAAAAAGCGCCAATTGATACTCAGAGGGTGCAAACGACGCTTTCAGTATCGAAGACTTATTACCGGTGTATGTGAGGCCGGACACTGCGGGCGATGCAGCGGACGAAGTCTTCGAGACGGGAGGGCGAGAAGCCTTTTTGCCCATTTTTGGCAGACTGTGCGGGTAAAGGTAACTCAAGACAGACGCCGAGAAGTATCGTGATCAACGCAGATCTGAATGTTTTGACCTTGTCGAGCTGCCAACGGTCGCCGTATCTGGGCAGTGTTACTGAGAAGGAAAAAAAAAGTTCTGTAGAGGCCATACTGCGCTAGTCTAAAAGCGGTCTAGTGTCTGTGAAGTTCCGCGATCGAAATGTCTTATCTAATCCGCTACTGTCCGCTTTTGCAGGCTTTCTATGGGGAGTGCTTACTGCTCAAGGATTTCAAACAAAAGTTCAATCTCAAGAGTATGAAGAGTGCTATTTAGGTCGCCTTGCCAGATAATTCCTGAAATCGCAGCCTAGAAGATGACTGTGAACTATCATCTGCCTAGGCCTCAGCAAAAGTGTTTACCATTTGTTGCCCGATTGATGAAAATTTCAGCCATGCTTGTCTCCCCCCAAAATACTCAAGACCGCGCCTGTACCCTGTACCCAGGCTTGCTTGAAGAAAGAAGACTTCAAATCTCCTTAACTTCATTTCATTTCAATATGAGGCTCATGACATTGATTGGCAGATTTCTGGTGACCTCGACATCGAGCAACAGCATCAGACTGCCAATGCTGTTGATACGTTTGGCTCTCTGGATCCGTTCAACTATGCTGAGCACGTCAATGCAGCCGGCCTACTAATCACCAATTATGACGGACTTTCTGAGCAGAAAGCTGTATGTTTCCAACCACCCTGTTCAAAACAACCTGATAAACAAGCGTCAGTCAAAGTCAGGGAAGCAGCTCAAACAGTCATTCTCCAGTCTCCAATTACGGTACAATGTGCTTTTCAGGATGGGTTCTTCGCTGGACGTCGATTGTCAAGGCTGCGGCAGCGCCACAATTACTCTCGGTGCATTCAATGCGGAGCTATGGACTCTTGCTATTCAGAAGTAGGTGTGGTGAGACGAATCGTCCATTAGTATGCCTACATTGAGACATACAATCTGGGTTTAGTACGGTACTTACCTCTGTCATGGTCAGATATGTCGGTATGAGAGATTGCCAGAAAAGGAAAAGTGCCTTGGGCGACTCCTGTTTACTGGTTCCTCTTGGCACTAGGCAGTCTTGCATCATTATGTGACACGCTAGGCCTGATGCGAGCTACAAGCCTCCAACGCAAGGGGACGGAAGAAAGGTTGACTCAGGGCTCAACCCTGACTTCCATAATCAGAAGGCGGCCAGCACATGGATATTTTCCCTGAGTAAGCCTCAGCACAGCTCTTTCCAAACCAAGGATTTTGTGATGCTGCTCTTCCTGAATGTGAATGCCTAACAGGTTTGGGTATGTCATATCTGACCTCCCACATGGCTAGTTTCATCTCAAATTCATTCATTATCTCACAGAACCGAACTACAGTCGGCTCACTTGGTTACGGTCAGATTAAAACCTCTCGTTCTGATTTCGTTTGCACCTTGTTTCAATCCATTTGATCCGAAAATTTTTGTGATCATTTTACGACTGTCTTTTTCGAAGATGGGTGATGGTTCCGACAGAGAAAACTTCTGGTACAAAGGTTCCACACTAAAGTATGCCACAACCAATAACATATCAGACCTCGTAGAACGCGTCATCACGCAACCAATCAACGCCTGCTAAATGGCTTGAACTAGAATGATTGGGATTAGCGCCACAGATGGGGCTAGTGGCAGAGGACGGACGAGCGCGACGCGGCCGTTCGTACTTAAGGATTCTAGCACCCTCCTCGGATTTTCTCAGTCTCTGTTTCTGGAGCTGAGCTGAGAGCTGCGTTGCACCCGCGCCCGGTCACGCCTGTCCCTTCCTGTTCACCTTGACCCTTATCTGTCCCCCGTCTCCCTCCTGAGTGCTGACCGCCCTTATTTATTAATATTCGATCTTATTTTCTCCGTATCCTCGGTTACCGCCCTCGCATTCATCAACTTACTACCACTTATCATCACAACGCGTATTTCGCGACGCGCTCTCACATCATAATCCCGGTCGCAGCCCCTGCACCTACTTATTTCCTGTCATATAAATCTTATCTCTGAACACACCAAGCTTCAGTGTCGACTTAACCCTTATTCTGCTGAACGCTTTTCTTTAACCTCAGGCGTTGACAGAGGCACGTGTCAGAGAACCGTTACGTGAAAATCACCTGATTCTCAGCCTTTCTCTGACTCCTCTTTTTGGTTCACGCAAAGTTGTCCGGCTTTGCTAATCTTCTAAGTTACGACTTTGCCTCCAGCTTAGTCAAACTGATTTGCCGCCCACGTGACTGTTCAGTTACCGCCTCTTGGCAATATAAATTCCTCCTTGTCGCATTCTCCACTTTCGACCTGCGCTAATCTTCCTCGTTTTTGTATCTTCCGCAACACTTCTCGGCGTCGCGACTCTTTGCGACCGCTAGAGGCAACACTTCTCCTTGTGTCTTCTGTCATCTAACCAGATTTTCTGCTTGACGGGTTACCGAATCGAATCATTAGTCTGTGTTAGCGCAGATAATACCTATTCAGTGCATTATTGTCGTTGTCGCTATCTAAACTTCAACTGAGAACAGCCTCTTCCTGCTCCGTTAGTTCCTTGTATTACGGGCTCCCCAAGAAAGGTGATAACTGTTGTCCTCAATGGCGACGCCGCCTCCCGAGGCTCCTCCTGTTGTCAAGGAGGACAAGCCTCAACTGCCGCCGTCGCCAAATGGTGCCTCATCTGTTGATATTGGTCGCACAAGGTACGTTTACAATGCTGACTACTTCCACCACATTGGTAAATTGACGAGCTCGCTAATTTCGTATAAGTAGCCCGCAGAATCATGTGACGGAAGCAGCGTCGATCAATGGTACGAACAAGCCCGAAGGAAATGACAAGACCGCCGCCTTAAATGGTCACGGTACTGAACAGCCGTCGTTGACGAATGGCGCCGGCTCCACTGTGTCTCCCCCAAAGTCACCTACTCAACCACCTACGGACGTTCCTGCACCATCGACGACGACAGCAACGGAGAAGGAAGAAGAGAAACCCCTTACTTCCACGCCTGCGGATGGATCAAACAAAGAGCCAAACGGGGCCAACTTGGTTCCTGATGCGCCTGCGATGCTGGAGACGGGCTCAACTGTTGGTACAAACCAGGCCTCACCGCAAGACACGAAGGCATCGCATGACGTATCAAAGCCACCGACTGATTCGTCATCCGATGCCAAGGTGGAGAATAATGGACAGGATTCTGGCGTGAAAACCGAGCTGCCTCATCATCCTTCTACTACTGCGAAGCTGGACACCATGCCCGGTGATGACGCTACTAGTAAGGTGCCAACTGTACCGAGTCTGCAGACTTCCGATCAAGACATGCCTGACGCGCCAGATGTTCCGATGTCTCCAACGAAGGTATCCCGTGAGCGCGATGCAGACGCCGATGATGAGCCCGCTGCCAAACGCACCAAACTGGAAGATGAAGGCTCAGCTGAGGTCAAGCTTCCTGATCTGCCAACACCTGTCGCCGAAGCACCTGCCCGCACCACTGTGAATGGGGAGGCGGCCATGACTAAGGTCCAACATAAATTCGTCCTCAAAGGTATTCAGAGTTTGAAGCGCATGAATGATGCTCGCTTCTACCGCGAACCTGTCGACCCGGTCAAGATGAACATTCCCCACTATCCGCAGATTATCAAGCATCCTATGGATCTTGGAACAATCGAGCGCAAATTGAAGAATAATGAGTACAAGACTGCTCAGGCCGTCGTGGATGATTTCAATTTGATGGTGCAAAATGCAGTTACTTTCAACGGACCCGACCACGTGGTGTCACAAGAGGGATTGAAGCTCAAAAGCACATTCGAGAAGCAAATGATGAACCTACCCAAGGCTGATGAGGTTGAGGAGAAGAAGCCGAAAAAAGTTTCCACCAAAACTTCAGCGGCCCATCGGGAACCGCGCACTAGCATTGGGACGTCCACAGCTCGCCCGACCGCCACTTCCCCTCAAGCCACGACTTTTGCTCTTGGACCAGAAGGACTGCCTTTGATCCGTCGTGACTCTACCAATACTGATGGCCGTCCCAAGCGCTCGATTCATCCACCCAAACGGGATTTGCCTTATTCCACCAAGCCCAAGAAGAAGAAGTACCAGTGGGAACTGCGATTCTGTCAGGAAGTCTTGGATGAGCTCCACAAACCCAAGCACTACAACTGGGCTGCCCCCTTCTACTTCCCTGTGGATCCGGTTGCACTGAACATTCCAACTTATCACAGCATTATTAAGAAGCCGATGGATCTTTCCACCGTCCAGTCCAAACTCAAGACTGGCCAGTACGAGAATGCCAAGGAATTTGAGGTTGACATGCGTCAAATATTCAAGAACTGCTTCAAGTTCAACATCCCAGGAGATCCTACCTACATGGCCGGACAGAGATTCCAGGAGATATTCGAGAACAAGTGGGCTCAGAAGACACGTTATCTAGAGGCTCATGAACCCCACCCAGAACACCAGAGCGTTAGCTCTTCCTCCGAAGAAAGCGAAGAAGAGGAAGACGAGAGCGACTACGACAACGAGAAGTTGACCATGCTGCAGAAACAAATTGCTGAAATGTCGCGTCAAGTGGAAGCCATTACACAGAAGAAAAAGAAGACTCCACCAGGCTCGAAAAAGCCTAGCAAGTCCAAGTCCGGAAAGAAGGATTCAAAGAAGAGCGGAACCATCCCCTTGGGCAAGAAGGACAAGAAGACTTCCTCCAAGTCATCCAAGCCAGAAAAGCAGCGCTACGTGACTTATCACGAGAAGCAGATCATATCGAACGGAATAAGTAGTCTTCCGGACAAGAAGATGCAGGAAGCCCTCAAGATTATCCAGAGCAACGTTCCAGCCTTGAAAGTGAGATTTAACTTCCACCATCTCAAATGGTATGTGCTAATGTTTCCTTTCAGGGTACACAAGAGACCGAGATCGAACTTGACATCGATGAGCTCCCTAATGAGGTTCTATTGATGTTACTGAAGTTCGTCAAGAAGAACGCCCCGCATGTCGTGGAAGAGGAGGATATGACCGCTTCTACTGCAGCAAATATGGCTGCTCCGAAGCCAAAGAAGAATAAGCCTATGAGCAAGTATGAGCAGGAGGCTCAGATCAACATGCTCGAGAGCAACCTCTCTCGTTTCCAGGGCGGTGGCGGCCGTTCCCCCGATCCTCTTCCGTCTGTGGAAGCGAATGAAAGTAGCGATGATTCAGAGGATGATTCTGAAGAAAGCGAAGAAGAGTAGACCTTTTGTCCGCTCCAATTCGCGTGAACTGCATGACGCGCTCCTGTGGCACTTCATGACTAGTTACTCGTCAGCATTGTCCCTGAATCAAAGCATGACTTTTGAAATTCTGTTATGCCCTTTTAGCGACTCGTTTTGTCTTGGAAGACAGTCTGGTCTTCACATCAAGTTCTGGACTCTCTGTACATAACCATCTTACTCTCGTCTTCCGGGTTCGAACCTTGTGTTTTTCCCCCTCATTTTCTTTGCTGTTTTATTATCCTATCGGGCGAATCTGCGCAGGTCCAGGGGGCGAAAGCCACAATTCAGGATCAGCTCACGTGGCGGATGACTTCAATTCTTTTGAGTGTCAGCACCATGGAGTTTCTTCTACCGATTACCTTGTTTCTATGATACCACTTCATAGCTCTGGTGCTCGTACTTGTGGTCCCGTGGTTCTTGGTTGAGGGGACAATTTGTCAGCTCGCAGAATTCCAAAATTCCTGAAGTCGGCCATAGAGCTCTGAGTGAGGAAACTTGGAACCAAGGCACGAGCGTACTCGTCAATGTGAGTACTCAAGAGTGCTCAGGGCTCGCAGGACGCCGCCCGGAGTCGATGGGAAAAGATTATGGCGCAGCAGATACATGTATGATTATGAAAGAAATGTGAAAATGAAAGCGCAAAAGCCTCAAAATCCGACCTTTCTTGTTGTGTCTTTGACTTGTATTCCTAGCGCTGTAGTGTGTGACTTGTAGTTGTAGATACATCCATAAGTCACGGGTCGACCTGGCGGTAACGCGGGAGCACGGAAAGATAGGCAGGTGATTTTGCAGCTTTGTTTACACATCTTGCGAACTTCCAACTCCTAGCCATTTCGAAAATGATACCACCCTGCGACCCAGTTATCCTTGAAAATAATCCCCAATTCGGAAAACTTTATCAGCACTTAACAACCAATTTACTCAATGCCGATGGCTCGACACGAGCCAATGATGAGCAGCCAGCCAGAAAAGCAGTACTGGAAGTACGTTCAAGGCGCCACTTGACTTGAGCATTGGCAGCGTGGACGAAAATGGCCGTGCAAGAACCAAATACGATGCAGATTTGACCCGTGCTTTTACTGCTTCTAGGAACTGAGAGGATGTCGAGTGCGAAGCGCAAGCAAAAAGATCAAGCAACAGACGCTACAGCAGCTGGCTTTTGACGCCGGCAGTGGGTTGCCGGATGATGTCAGGATAAGCTCTATCTGAGTCGAAATATGCGTTAGTTTGCTAAAAGTCTGTTTGGACAGTATCGCGACCCTCTCGCGGTGATTACCCTCTACCTGGAATCGTCCCCTAGTCGGCTTGACCTTGAGGATGGGGACGACCACGAGAGCGCACATGCACAAGCTCTATCCCTTTTAGCTTCGGATATTGACGCCTTCTATTCCATCATTCCTGCACTAGTCATACCTTTTTCGAACGCCTTATCGTCCGCCCTCGAAGATCTCCGAGCAATTGCGAACGCCGGAAAGAGCCTAGATTGCGCGGCGTCTGCACCTGCGATACCGCATACGTCTACATTGCCTACACGTGCTCGTGTTCGAACAAGCCGTAACCAATCCAAGGCGAAACCACAGGCTCCTCTCGCATCACAGCTGCGGGAGCGATTGCAAAACCTGCGTCAGATACAGTTGGCGCAAATACCAGCTGCTCGTGTACGGATGGCGGTAACAGCGGCAAAGGTCCTGGAAACACGCGCTGAGATATTGAAGCATACGGTTGTATTGCTTGAGCGCGTAAAGCACGGCGCGCTATCCAGGGCTACCAAGGCTAAGGCTGAACATCTTGCTCTGGTTGCGCAGGGCGTGGAAGCGAAGCTCAGGTATGTCTGATCAAAAAGATTACTCCGCATTATAGCCAAGGTCCCTTGAAACTAATGACTTCGAAAGTATAATCAAACTAGACACTGCAGCAACACTCTATACTCCCAAGGTTGTTACTGCCCTTGACCGATACCGCCAGCATCTCCGGGAGACTCGTGAAAGACTGGAACAGAAGCAAGGAAACGTTCTTCAGGAACTGAAAGGCTACGAAGGTGTGGACTCTGCTGAGGCTCATGAGCCATCTGCTCGTAGCAACAAGGGGCATTTTGAGTCTGGCCCGATGCGGGAGATTGCTCAACGGTACGGATCGCTTATAAAAGAGATCGAGGCGGTGAAGTTGGAGATTCAGAGGTTAAGTGGCTAGAAACCTTTTTGCTAATGTTCTTGTTTGGAGATACCCTAGCTCACTAAGAATACAACGTCATCCTTCGAAGCCTCCGACGGGAAAGTTGGACTCCGGCCTCAGTTGCGGAGTCGTGACTTTGGCCCTTATCTGAATCCCCGCAGTCACATGATCCGACCCACTAAAAGTTTTCTAGTGATAAAGATCAATAGACTGCTTTGTACTTTTTTTTTACAATAGACGTTTCATAGTTGAATTCGCGAGTGCACAGAAAAAGATACGATCACTCAATATGGCCGACGAAGCTCTTTCCATCTACGACGAAATCGAGATCGAAGACATGACCTTCGACCCAAATCTCCAGATATACCACTACCCGTGCCCCTGTGGCGACAGATTCGAAATCGCAATCGATGACTTGCGCGACGGCGAAGATATTGCCGTCTGCCCTAGCTGCAGCTTGATGATTCGGGTTATCTTTGAAGTGGTATAGTTGCCAGTTTCGGCCTCGACTAGATCACAGAATATGGATCGCTGACACATGTTTTCTGCTTGCAGTCTGATCTTCCCAAAGATGGTAATCAGCCGGCACCAGGTGCAGTTTCCGTGCAGGCGTAAATCAGCCCAGAGACAAGCTATGTTATGAAGCTGGCCCAAAGTTCCTCGCGCCTATTCCTGAAACGCCGCACGGATTACTGGCAGCCCGTACTTCAACTTAACGAACCGGAATGACTTCCCTCGGAGTATCGATACCTGTCAGTTGATGGAGGATACAGGAATCACGCCACGACTGCAGCCGTCCGGGCCTTCGTGGCCTTTTCTGGTTCTCTCGTATCCAAGGCAATGGATATGCGCACCCTGCGAGCGACTCCCCTATGACTACAGTGTCTTCGTGACTGTCAGGACACTTTGCATTGAGGCAGAGGGACATCACAGCTATATCCGACCATGGTCATGATAAAGATTCACCTAAGTCACGTCAAGGATGATATAAGGGCGTTTTGGTTGTGAAGAAATCTGGACCTGGGAGGAAAGAAGATCATTATATTGGTGAACTTTCGATTCATGATTGTATATCTGCGCAGCAAGTGAATATGCACTTGATGCGGGTGTTTACATCGTTCCCATGGACGAAACTGAAATGTTGATCTCCATATCATACACCGTAACCTCTTCGTCATAGAATATGGTAATCTTAAACATCGCCTGATCATCCACATACTCCTTCTTGGCCACTCAACAATTATTTCTCAAATTCGCTGTAGACGTCCTTTGCAATGTTCAACGACAGCTCCGCATTCAACAGATCCGTTAAATTGGATCCATCGCGGAGGTAGATCCATTTTCCATTGCCGAAGGGACGTGTATCCTGCTTCTCATGCATTTGGTCTCCTTCGACGACCCAGTCGTACCGCTTAGGGCCAGAGATTGGCGAGCTGAGCCAGATCTGCTTGTTGGGAGGCTGCTTGTTCAGGACATAGGTTCCTACACCGGGAACTGAAATATTCATTACGCCAGCCTAGAGTTAGAGATCGTATATCGAACCGCGAGTTAGCCAGAGATGCCTTGCAAATCATAAGGGCGGCATGAGTTGCCTCGGACAAGAAACGGAAAAGAGAAAATCTACAACGCAGGCCCGCAATACGCACACTATACTCTGCCTCGATATCAGATCCCTCCTCCTGGGCCTTCTCCACTTCATTCTGAATCACATTGAGATAGTACTCCGCGAACTCGTGATACTGCGCGTCAGTCAACGGCGAGGGTTCCGTGACATGGGTGGACGCGCCAGCGACATTATTCGATTGCGGGTTCGGGGCGGGAGGGTCTGCGGAATCAGGGAAGATGCCCTTGCGGATACATTTGGTGGATTGGAACCCTCGACGGGATGCCTGGGACGAATTGCTGACGCTGTTCAATCGGGGTTGAAGATGAATGGCTGCGGGCACCGTTGCTGAGACCCGGCCTACACGGAGAGAAGGACGGGCGGCGGAGGAGACAGCAGATCGAGAAATGCGCGAAAGCATTTTCGGTGATTTTCGAGCTATAAGCTGACCTTCAATCGACTATAAAGGGGATGCGTGATTGCCGAACAAAGAGAGGATGGAGAAGGTTACGGATGAAATGCGGAGGAGAAACGAAGATGCGCGTCATATGTCATAGTCTTTCCTCGATGCAGCTTAGCTGTCGATAGCTCTCCTTCAGCTTCCTTTCCTCCGTTCCTCCATGTTTTCAGGCAGCTGATGACTCTGATTCATGTCTATTTGTACTCATTGTGGTAGCATCTGATCATTTATCACTATCCTTTCCCATCGGGGGCGCATATTTTGGTTATGGCAAGTTTCCATATGGCACTTTACTACTGTCCCAAAGTGGCATAACTCTTATCACATATGAAAACCCTCAGGCCTTTCAGGCCTCTACTTCAACCATCAACAAGCCCTGTTTTCTGTCTTTATCATTGGAACATGTCCGAGAAGAAGAGAAATGGAGCACCACGGACTTTCCCTAAGAGGGAAAAGAGGCCCCCTCTGACACACTTTCTGTGCCTTCCGCTGGTGAACGACATCTCGCTACCTCAGCTGGAATCTTCTTTATCAACATTTAAAGCTGCCATTCCGTCGGTTTGGCATTCAGACGAGAATGGCTCCGTACAACAGCAGGTTTCTGCTGAACGCCCGCTCATCCCCGATGGCGCGGTGCGTCCCGTCGGCACTCTTCATCTTACGCTCGGGGTGATGAGTCTTCCCACGAAAGAACGGCTGGAAGAAGCAATCCAGTTCTTCCACTCACTCGATTTAGCATCCATAATGCATGAGGCAGAGAAAATCGCCAAGAAATCGAGACGGTTCCGAAAAAGGAGTTCATCGCCTCGACATCAGTCTGACTTTACGGGCGCAGTGGGAGAGGGTGAGGAAACTCACCCATCAAGGCGACTAGAGCAGGAAGGTGACTCTGGTTCCGCGATCGTTTCACGAGGCAGCTACGAACCATTGACAATTTCTCTCGAATCCTTACATGCGCTTCCGAGGGGGCGCGCGGCTACCGTCCTTCATGCTGCTCCTGTGGATTCCACGTCTCGCCTCTATCCCTTTTGCGTGCTGCTGCGGAACAAGTTCCTAGAGGCAGGGTTCTTGCAGGGCGAACATATCAAGAATAAGCCAGGCTCAAATGACACTGAGCCCCAGACGCCACCCAAAGACACGGAAATGGACACCGGCGACGCAACGAGTACAATACACCGAGCTGAGCCAAATCTAGATCAAGGCCAACAACCCCATACGGATACTCCGTTCGAGAATCGTACAACCCTTCTTCAAGAAATGCCCGTCGATTTGGCGGACGAGTCTGCTCAAGCACATTCGCAAACTCGCGAACCCATCACGACCACGGTCGTCACCGCTGCGCAAAAGAAGTCTAAGCTCAAAGTTCGACCGCTTCTCCTTCATGCTACGGTGGTGAACACTATCTATGTCCGTGGTCGACGGCGAGGAGGAGGCCCTCAAAACAGCGGTAACCGCCGAAACAGTCAATACACCTTCGATGCACGGGATATTCTTGCTCACTACCGAGACTATTACTTCGATGGTCAAAGAACAACGCCACGGTCTCCTTCCATTACAGTGACCCCTCAACCCAACGAAATAGAAAGGCGACAAATCGCTAACAACGAGACTGGGACGGAAAGTGCGTCAAATTCTGCCAGCACTACAGATGGCAGTGGCAGCGAGCTTCGCAATTCCTCCCCGGAGAAGAAACAGAAGACGTCATCCATGAAGAGGGTAGACGCATTCCCTTTCGTTTGGGCAAAGGACTTCCCACTAGAGACAATCTGTATCTGTGAGATGGGCGCAAAGAAGCTTGATCCTGACGATAGTGGGATGAATGCACGTTTGGGAGAAAAATACCGAGTTGTGGCAGAAAGGAGCCTGGATTTCACATCTTCGGGGAACTCAAAAGTGGTTGCTGAGGGCAAAGCTTGCCACCAGGATGACCAAGAATCTAATGGCTGCGGCAGCATCGATGGGAGTGTTGAGGGCGGCGTTAAAATCTAGAGCATTCAAATGGCCTCTATATATATACTATGATCATGGCATGCTCATTAGAGGAATCTCCTGTCGTACTGACAGTTGAGAATCCGTGCCTGAGGTATTTACCCTCGAACAAAAAAGACACCAAAACGCCTCGCTGGTAGGATATCTCCCCGAGTGATCCAATGACAGATGACAAGTCACGGTGCCACCATAGAATGGGGAAAGAACAAACACCTTCAATGCCTTCAACTTAGCCTGGCAGACCAACAGCATCATCGCACGCGGCTCATGAGCGTCTCTGTACCCCTCTCTATTGACAATTCCGCCGCCTTTGTTTTGATGGCGCTGATCATGCTTCTTTCAAAATCATCCCTAGTCCTCAGCACTGCTTCAACCCAAGACAACTGTAGATCCCAGTATTCGGTTTTGAAGTCCTCGTAAACTGCAACCAGAGCCGGACCTTTCTCTGCTTCGAGCAGACGGAGAAGCCAATCAACCAGCCGCCACTTCTGCTTGATCGAAGCAAATGAGTCGGGGTATTTCTGGAAGAAAGCAAAAACTGTAAGGACGTCGTCCTTGAACTTGTCTGTGTACGGATCGACGTGCCGCTTGAACTTGACACCCTTGTTGCGGACCGATGACAGATATCGGATCAGAAGTTCGTCGGATAGTTCTTCAACCAGGATGTCGGTCAGGGAAGGATGGAGAACGGCAGAGTAATCTGTCATGTAGTCCTCAAAAGTTGAGGTGATTCGCTTGATGGCAAAGTCGCCATACCATTTTTGGGTGAAGAAGTCTGGAATAGTGGTGCGGAAGTCGACAGCGAAGACGAGTTCGACGAACTGCGTGAGACAATACGTACTCAAGTCCACATAGCCGTCCCGCAAAGCGTCGAGTTCAGGTATGGCTCGTGAGGCCATATACTTCGGATCCACGGATGGCTCGAAATCACGCTTGAATTTGCTCAAGTATCCCAGCTGGCCCGACTCGTCGTTGTCGTCAATGCAGGCGATCTGATCGTTGGCAACGGCAATGAGCCAATCTTGCAATAGCTGGAGGCCTTCGAGTTGGTCGCCGCCCACCGCCTTATATTTCGCACATTCCTCGTCAATGAGCGTTTGCCAGGTGGTTTGGCGACTCTTGAGCACTCGGAACATAGCATCAATGATGCCTTCTACAACATCTGTTCGAGAGGAAGCACCGGAAGCCACAATCTGTTCGTGTAGCATACGCCACATATCTGGAAGGGTCTTTGTACGGAAGTATCCTTCTGCGTTGGTGTCGAGGGAATCTGGAATGCGCTCGACGAGTCCTTTTCTGTCTGTTTCGGTAATTCGATCCATCCATTCTTCCACAGCTTTGATGATGATGTTTTGCCACTGTCGGATGAGCTCAGGCTCACGGTCGTCAAGAATGTTTGGTTGGAGCTCGGATTGCTTCCAGCCGAGCTTTTTCATTTTCTTATAATACTTTTCGCTCCAGTGAAGAATCGCAAGCAAGTTGTCTGCCGGTAACTCAGGGTCATTAATGAGCTCGATCAGAAAATCATGCATCATTCGGTGATAAATATTCGTATATGTTTTGTAAATCTTCCACTTTTTCGGAAGCAGTGCTTGCATGCCTTGTTGAACAGAAAAGAGGTCGTTGAAGTACCACTTGAAGCTCTTATCCAGGTTCTCAGGATCGCCCAAAAACGCCTCCTTGGTTTCCCGAAACTGGTTCTCCGCATAGAGCTCGATTGCTTGCAAGAGTTTCTCCTTGTAGCCGCGAACTGTTTTAGGACCAATGTTCATGGACTTAAACCGGCCGGCCAGGTCCTGATGATCCTTTTGTGCCTCCTGAAGAGCGCGCACCGTCGCGTCATTCTTCTCCTCAGTCATAACAATCACACCCAGCCGAACAACCATACTCCGGTTGTCTGACTGCACTAGCGGGATGAGATTCATACAAGCGGTTCCGAGATGCTCATCAAACCAATCAATGACAGAATCCAGGCCTTGGAAGTAGTCCGCCAGCGTCGCTTCGCTGCTCGGGTCCTGAGCCTTGCGAATCTGGTCCATCGCCTCGTCTCGAAAATCTCTCAACCGCGAGATCTGCATGTGCACACGTAACAAATTCGCCTGATTCTCAAGATCCTCGTCGTCCTGGCGCAAAAGCTCCTCGACCTCAGCAAGATCGGTACTAAAGTTCTCCAAGCCCTTCTTCATCACCAAAGTTGCTTCGAAGTTCCGCTGTACTTTGGCCAATTTATCAATCCGCGAAAAGTCCTCGACGCTCGTTTGTGATTCCGCGCACAGTTTGTCTATAGTCTGAAGTTCGTCTCTCGTCTTTGTGACCTGTCGCTGGCCCTCGGTCAAGGCATTGATACTACGCTGGACTGTTTCCAATTGATGCCGGAGACCTTCCCGGAGCTGTGAGTCAACTGCTCCCTTCTTTCGCGTGTATTCGGCTTTCAATCCTGCAATCTTATCCAGGTCTTCTGGGTGGCGCAAGATTTCGTCTAGCCGGGGCATGGCCAATGTGCCGTCTGAGTCTCCTTCTCGCGCCATGTTGCCAGATACGTAATTGAGAAGTTATTATTAATGTCAGACTGCGCAGCCTATGCGATGTTTTGATCCTGCGGGAGGTGTTGGAAGGATAGATAACTGCGTGAATCGAGCCGGATGTCGCCTTAATTGTGAGACTCAGCAACCTCAGAAGAAGCGTACGCGCAATATAGAAGTAGACTGCGCCAATGCAACGTCCAGGACAAACGTAGTGAAGTAAAGCGCGCAGCGTTACTAACCCAGGGTGTCTGTTCGAAGGAACTCGACCGGTCGACCGACAGATCCTAGATTATGAAACCGGCAGCTGCTGTGCTAATTCCATGCCCAGTTTGCAAATTGCTGGAAGCAATTCCCAGCAGCAGCCCATAAGCCAGACACCGTGCTTTGATGACGGGAGTACACCTAAGCTACACCGTCAAGCTTCCCCGTGAATTCCACCCGCCCGCCACATGAAGACACCGGCAGAACAGAATGCACGTGACTCTCCGCCTGGCTGACCGACCATACCAGCAAAAGAAAATCCCGATATTTTGCGGACAAAGATATCAAGCTAATCGAGATAATTGAGCAGGCGTGGAGCGTAAGACACTATATGCCAAGTTGACGACTTCATTCATTCCTCGCATATACTGTCCATTGCGATTCTTGAGTTGTCGAGGCTTTCGTTGAGAGAAAATTCCGCCAGGCCATTGTTACACTTCATGTCCAACACCGCAACTACAAGCAAAGACAAACAGTCAGAAGCCAATTGATCCCAGCTTCCAAACACTCCAAAACCGACGATCCGAACGGAAAACTCATATACTCATCAACATGAGCTACTTCCGCGTCACCCTCCTCCGCTCCGCCATCGGTCTCCCACGACGAACAACAGACGTCCTCAAGGCCCTCGGACTCAAAAAGCGCATGGCGACAGTCTTCCACCCAGTATCGCCATCGGTAGCTGGTCAGATCATGAAGGTCAAGGAACTTGTGGAGGTTCAAGAAGTCGACAGGCGGCTCACAAAGGAAGAAGTTCGTGCTGAACGGAGGCCGGACCCGGGGTACTATGTCGAGAAGGCATCAAATGAAGAGTTTAGCGAGAATCGGTCGGCATAGAATGCGGGTCTTACTACCAACTTGTTGCTCTTGTTTCTCGGCCATGTGAGCCAGCTGGGATGTTCCCGGTAGTTTCATGCGAGGATATCGGTTTCCTAAGCATATGTGGACGCCTTTGAGACGGTGGTTGTCAACATCTTCGATGCAATCATTCTGCGTGGAAGCTCCAGTGCCTAGTGTACTGATGCTTGAACGCCCTCCTGCAGGAACGTTTATATCTCATCTACACTTCCTCTCAAACCTAGCCATGTTCTTCACATGGCCAACCCGGCCCTCTATCGTCCTTTTCAACGATTCATGTATTATACATATCTTGTGCCAGCATTATTATACCAGGATGTCAAGATTGGTCCTTTTTTCCTCCATTCTCTTATTGTCTTGGTGTTATGTTACTGATTTCCGAAGGTCTGATGAGAAGAACAATTTGTACAATTATATAATGTATGAACAGTAATCTGCTTGAACGCCTTAAACGCCACTGCCGTAGCTATATCATTTAATCAGGAACCCAATATCTCAAAGAATTGGAATTTTACGGGTGAGGAACGATTCAACGTTTCCAGCGACTTGCGAAACCCATGGCAACCATCCAATCAAGCATGGATCTTTTAGGCTTTATACAGAGTGTCCAGGAAGCCTTCAGCAAGACGGCTGACAATGCTCTTATCGGGAATGCTGCCAGCAACACCATACAGCGCGGATGTTTCGCCACGCTTGAGCACATACGACTTGCCCTGCCGCTTCCTCTCCTCGGCCTTCTCTAGCTCTTTCTCCACCGTCTCGACCAAGTCAGTGGTCAACTTTTCGACTGCAGCCGCTGTCGGAATTGTGAATGCCACGTGGATTGCGGGGGGAGACTGGAGAGCATTTAGGTGCCAGCCTTTGGCCGACAGACCATCGGCAACGTCGTAGATATCGATGGCACCGTTTTGACTCTGGAACGCGACCACGCTGACCATGGGCTTCCCGATGATACCGAGATTCTTGGACAGAACTGGATGTTCTTTGATTGACGCTTCAAACTTCTTCGCCGCTCCTATGATTTCAAGGCAGCTGTTGATGTAGCCAGTCTCACCAACGCTCATCAGGCTGGTCCAGCAGCCTGCAATCAGAGCACCTGGCCGAGATCCTGCCACGGAAGGAGATGCATACACACCACCGGACCAATCAGGGTAAATAAAGTACTGGTAGCTGCGGTATGTCTTGTTGCGGTAAAGGAGCACGGAATTGCCTTTGGGTGCGAAACCGTACTTGTGTGTGTCCACACTAATACTAGTTACGCCCGGAAGGCGGAAATCGAAGCCTCCTTCTTCCTCATAAGGGGAGGGAAAGCCGGCCTTCTTAAGGAATGCAATGACAAAGGAGCCCAGACAACAGTCGACATGAAGAGGAATCTTGTATTTAGTTGCAAGTCGGGATAGAGCAGGGATATCGTCGACGATTCCATGAGGGAAATTGGGCGCGGAGCCAACCAGAAGAACAGTATTGGGATTGATTAGGCGCCGTACAGCAGTAATATCAACCTTGTATTCCGGAGCTGGGCAGGGAACCCGATGAAGCTTCATTCCAAAGTAATTGCAAGCCTTGTAGAATGCAGCATGGGCCGTATCTGGAATAATTCTACAATGAATGTTAGCAACTCTATCCACTCAGCAGTCCGAGGCATAGTACAGGACTCACATTTCAGGCTCCTTTACTCCCCGTTCTGTGAATGCCTTCTGTCTAGCTGCCAAGCAGGCCATAAGAATACTTTCGGTACCTCCGCTGGTAGTGACACCGGCGCCATCCGAAGGAGCATTAAACAAGGCGAGGACCTACAAATACTCCATATTAACAAGCACGTCATCCAAATAACCGGCGAAAACTTACCATGGCAACCACCTCAGCCTCCATCTTGCGAACGCCAGGGAAAACATCTGGGTGGATGGGGTTTGCGACGCCAAACTGCCCAAACGCCTCCGTTTGAAGCTTCAACAGGTCCTGGCCACCATGGTAGACAGCTCCACTGACTCGTCCATCCTCCCAGCGGGTATGCTCCATGTTCGCCAGTTTATCGAGTTCGGCGCGAATCTGCTCTGATGTCCACCCTGTCTGGGGGAGAGTCAGATACCTAGTGACACCGGGGCCAGTGGCGACTAGTTTGTTCTCGAGATTCTCGATCGCCGTTGAAACCTGCTTGTCGACCTGGCCACGTACCCCGGGGGTACGCAGGAATACGGAATAGAAGAACAGCCGGATTGAAGCGTAGACATTACGGATGCTGCCAATGATGCCATAGCCGCGGAGAGAGTAATAGGTCTTGCGAACATAACGCAATAGAAAAAGGATAAAGATAATATTCCGAAGTCTGTAGTTCGCGTACCCACCGTGTTAGAGTTCGGGTGTCAATGCTCAGAACGGTCGCTCCATGATCTTCCCTATGGGCGGGGGACCAGGAATGATGGGTTGATTCGTCCACTTACAGATCGAAGTTCAAGGCCGCCAACTGCGCATTGGGAGCCCTGCTGTAGCCAAGCAGTTTGTTCTGTAAGGCAACAGGAAGAACCGAGGAAGCCATTTTGCAGACTTTTTAGGAACCAGAAGAGAGTGGATGGGGATAGGTCACCTCTAGGTAAGTGATGACGATGGTGGATTAACTAACTGGAGGAGTCCGTGGCTTAATCGGAGATTCTGGGAGTCGACCACGGAGACTAAAAAGAGCGCCAGTCGAAGCTGCCTCGGTTCATCTTCCACATGTTAATCCTGCCAAACAATATGACAAATGCAACATCAATCATTACTTCGGATCAAGCAACCGCGATCGATCTGAAATTTTCCGCCACTCTGCAGATTGGGAAAAGGCAAATGGGCAATGGCAACCTAGCTATTCCCATAATTATTAAGACATCAACATGAAACAACACTAGCGGGACCTTTCCTACCATGTAAGCTTGAGAATCGTATTATCAACAAAAGGATGACACTAGAAATGATAATGCATTTGACCTTGGAACGGCCTGCTAGCTATATACAGCTTAGAGAACAACGCTCTCCTTAACACCAATCTCCCTTTTTTTTGAGGGACAGAGGATGACTTTTGAAAACCCCGAATATGAACATCCCAAGACATACCGTGACATACCAAAAGAAGAAAGAAAACATCAGATCATGACGGGAGGAAATCCAGTGCTTCCTTGTTGTGAAAACGCTGAGAGAAAAACAGGGATTCAAAATTCTAAACAAATGAACAGGTCGATTCAATCAAGAAAGATGGAGTCGAACAATGTGGAATACAAACGGCGTATTGCTTAAGCAATAACACCCGAGCCAGCAAGCTCCTTCTCCTTAGCAGCAAATTGAGCTTGCTCTTCAGCTGTGAGGTCAAGAAGAGGCTTGTTCTCGCCTGACTTGAGGTTGCGGTAGTAGGCACGGATGATGCTGTCAGCGTCGTCAACGGCAATGGGACGGATATCAGCAAGTGCCTTGATCTTGGCAGTGCACTCCTTGTACTGAGCATCGGTCATCTCAATGTTGAGCTGCTGAGCACGAGACTTGATAGCGTTCCAGCCCGTCAAGCGCGAAGCAAAGTGAACGTATCTGGTCATACCGAAATCGGCAGGGTTGATAATCTCGTATGTGCTGGGGTTGTTGAGAATGGCCTTGGCGTGGATACCGGCCTTGTGGGTGAAAGCGCAGAAACCAGTGATGTAGTTGTTGAAGGGAATGTTGACTTCAACGGCAGCAGCAACAAGATCCTCAATGTCCTTGAGCTTCTCGAGCTTGTACTTGCCCTTGACGTATTCGGGGTCGGCGACCATCATACGGGCCATGAGACCACCAAGGGGAGTGATACCGTTACGCTCACCGATACCAAGGACAGAGGTATCGATGTGAGTGGCACCAGCCTCCAAGGCGCAGTAAGCGTTAGCGATGGCACACCCAGTGTCATTGTGGAAGTGAGTTTCAATGTCACAGCTAACAACACCTCTCAACACACGGACTAGTTCGTAAACCTGACGAGGCGAAGCGCAACCGACAGTGTCGGCGATACCAACACGGTTAACGCCGACCTTGTCGACAGCGGAGTAAATGGACAGCAGGTCAACGAGGTCAGAACGGAAGGAGTCCTCGCTGGAGAACCGGATCTCAATGCCCTTGGACTTGACGAATTCGATGACTTCAATGGCCGTGTTCTTGATATAGGTCATGTCCTTGCCGTGGGAGTGCTCCCGGAGATAGGACGAGGTTCCGATAACGACGTCACTGTATAAAAAAGTCAGAATTCCACCATGATTGCCAACCGTTGGTAGGCCCACTTACACTCCGTCAACACCCGTCTCGACAGCAACTCTGGCGTCGTCCATATGACATCTGATGTGTGTGAGGATCTGTGGCAACGACACTTTAGAACTGATGCGAATTGAGATCAGGATCAGGGGAGCGAACGTACCTTGGCCTTCAGGCCAAGCTTGCAGATAGCCTCGCAGTCCTTTCTTGACTGCTCGGAAGCACAGGGGCTGGTGAGCTCAATCTATATTCCATGTCTCGGTCAGTGCACGTCTTCCCAGCAACATGTTGACTCCAGCTGGCTATGACTCACGTAGTCGACACCAAACTCATCCAAGGCCTTGGCAATCTCAATCTTCTTCTCGGTGTCGAAGAAGGCGTTGGCGAACTGTTCACCTTCACGAAGGGTACTCTCAATGATCTTGAAACGAGAGACATTGCTCAGGAAGTCGGTCACACCGACGTTGTGGCCGTAAGGGTTACGAGAAGCCGAAGGGTGAGGGTTTTGACGGGTCTGGACGGCAGTGAAGCCGGGGTGAGCAACTGGGAAGAAGGGAGATTAGTCTGGATCAAGTATGATATTTCTGTCTCCAGGTGAAATACCGGTGCCATTGGCGCCGTTGGTGTGCCCATTGGGCTCATTGTCTGCACCGGGGCACATTTTGTCAATTGATAGCGGGGTGATTTCTATTACAATGTCGGAGTGAGCGAGATTGGCTGTATGACGGATCAAAGGTTAGGTAACAATTGACAATAAGTGGAATGGATGTAAAACAAGGAACTGACAATGGTGATGTTCAAAGAATTTCGGGGTTTATGTGAGTAGTACTAGGAGGTAAGAGTCATACGCTGCAAGAGAAAAAGTGGGTGGAGTTTATGAGGGCGGGCGGTCTGGAAAGGATGACTATGACTCGGAGGGGTGAAGCGGACTCGGACTCGCTGGGCACTTTTGAGCGGCAACGAAGAAAATTTCACACGCCGAGTGTTGCAGAGACTTGAGCGACTACTACTGTATGATCTCTGGTTATCTAAGATTCTGAATATGGGCTTGTGTGGGGATTTTCTCCGCCAGGCCAATGCTATTCTGCTTTCTGCTTCTCCCAGCGCAACCGGAATCCTGATTGCTCCAACATTTGAAGATCTTTCCCCATTGATTACTCATTACTTGGTGATAATACTATTGCTCGCAAATCAGCTATCGGCAAGGTACATGCTAGGCAAGCCATGGAAGGAATGTACGTATGTCGCCACTCGTCTCTTGACTCTATTTCGGTAGAAATTTAGAGGGGTATCGTCACGTTGAATTAACATCATCTGTGTGGTTACCTGTACGTGAAAACGAAGTTCTCAGTACTGAAGAGCAGCAAGTCTAGGTGCGGAGTACCTAAACTTGGGACCGACATCGGCTTAGGTGATTTGAACTACGACTGAATGATTGGACGGCTTCGGCTGCGAGCGAACAATTACGAGAATTCATTCTCACCAAGCATCGAAAAATCCATTCAGGCAAAAAACAGAAAAAGGACTAGAAGAGAGAGAATTGATAATCACAGACATTCAGGTCCTCGATATAGAGGGATACCGTACAGACTTCAGAGCCTCTTATTTCATAGGTATTATTCCCTTGTAAGGTAGGTACCAAGATCCACTGATAAAGTTGACAATAGTGCGTCAGCTCCTAGTATCTATTCATGGCTGCAGTCTGCACACTGCACAAAGCATGCAGTACTCCGTACGGAGTGAAGGACTCTTCTAGGTACTTCATACTAAATTCGACTGTCCGAGACCGCGCTACACAGCATTTGTTTCATGTATCATGAGACATCATATTTTCTTACTGTTGCCTATGACCATCTGAATGCCACCTGTCATAAATGAAGAGGTAGCTGGATCTCTCAATGTCCTTGCAGATGCTCATGCGGAGCAGGATGGAGAGACATACAAAGTATGGTCATACCAATAATCGCCTGTTCAATCAACACAACAACAGGATCAGCCTTGCCAGGTAAAAATACGTCAACCATCGCTTAATAAACTTTCGAACCAGAGCTCCTTCTTAACTACTGTGAGGCATCAAAGTGAAAATGTCCTTCCAGGACTGAAGGGTCGAGACGAAGGTAAATGAAGATACGACACCTCTTGCTACCCAATGCCCTCACCTACACAAGGCGAACACGGAGAATGCGGACCCATCAACCGCTCCATGTCTTCAGCCTTGATACCTCTTGTCTACACGCAAAGCTCCCGCTGCGCTCAAGTCCGTGAGACTTCTCTGAACCCTCGAATTCGGAGAAGCCTTCACCAGAGTCCTCTCTGTATTTGTTCAAGGCTGCAAAAGAATCTGGCCCATTAATCTCCCTTTTGGTCCCAAGGCGTTGGTTCCTGGATTTCCCAATTCCGTAGCCCCTTCCTCGGGCACTCACGACGTCTCTCAGCCCGGTCCTCCTGCTTTTACGCATGCCAAAAGCCAGGCCCGCAACAACAGCAATGACAACACCAAGGCTGACTGGAAGTCCGATAAGAAGAGCCGTCCTATTAAAGGGTATCTGAGGGGAAGGCTTGTAGTGTTCAACTGGTTTAGGATGGAGTATGACAGTTGGGCCTTGCCGGGCACTAGCTCGGCTACCCGACGTAGGATCCAGCTCGATGATATAGAGTGTCAGAGTATTGTATGGCTTTCCTTGGAGCCATTCCTTCTGCATATGAAGCGAAATATAACCGTAACTGTTATCAGTCTTTTCAGACGTGAATGCCGAGTCTCCCTGAGAAGAGTTCGCGTATCTCAACTCGATTGTGATCGTCGCGTTCAGAGGGTAGAAGTCAGCATTCCATGTGACATAGTACGTCGCGTCGACTGTAACATCTGCACCATCCGTAGGGAGACAAAAAGGCGCTATTGGACCATTAAGATCGGTACAGATAGGGAAGTGGCCTGAGAAAGACGAGGTATTTGTGTTATTGCGTGAATCTTGTGAAGGAGCCTCGTTCAATAGAGTCGCGGTTGCTTGAGTATGTTCGTGAGCTTCATAAGGCATTGGAAATATATCTGATCGGTATAACTAAGTCACTCACAATGAGGAATCGAAGAATCCGCTCTTCTTCCTAGCGCAGCACCAAGCCCGTGGCCCATCAAGGTCGCTACTATGAGCCACCAGGCCATCGGGGCTGAAGTGGGAACAGGGTGACACCACATCTCCGTATTTGTTGATGGACCCGTAGATGATAGTCTGGTGCAAATCAACCCTCTTGACTCTGTGGTGGATACAGGATGCGTCTGATAAAAACTATGATTCTGTGATGCAATGTCAATGGCTAGAAGGCCCCTCTGAGACACACAGGTTTTGTGAGGGCGAGGCAATCGGTGCAGTTCTACTGCGAGAACTTAAGGAGGAGCTACTATATGAACTGAACGCTGCCATTTTTGGAAGCCGCGACATCGGCTCAGCAGATTCAAAAGATGAAAGGAGTCATGAGGTACAATGGAGAACATCCGACTCCGTCGGCCTAGAGCTTTCGTAGGAATATAGCCCAGGTATCCAGCGACTTCTGTGTTGAAAGTCATTACTGTCTCAAAGTGTTGCTGGAGCACGAACTTCAGACAGCCAGAAACCTCAATCAAATAGACGATCTTGTTGGTAGGTCGAAAGAAGCGAACTAACTATATCAGGGTGACATAATCAAGAGCATCCCTAAGACATCATATAAACAAACACGAAAGTCCTTGCAACAGTGATGTAGAGGTATCTTTCCACTTGGTTTAACTTTATACCTGGCACAATAAATTAAGCCATTAAGCATTCCATCAAATCAAATCAAACCCTTTGCGCTTTAGACCATCTACTTAACTGCACCGGAAAGCTGCTCCCCCGCTAACATTGATAAGTCGGCTCTCCCGACGCTTAGGCCAGCTGTCGCCAATCGCGGAGACTAAATCACTTTCATCCTTCGTGGCTGTTTCACTTCTTTCACAACTCAGGAGCCCGCCTTCCTAGCTACCTGCTGTCCGTACTTTGGCCTTTCAGACCGTCCATTCAATCCAAAGTGCGCTTATTGTCATTGTAACCAGTTCAGGTTCGTTCGATTTCAATATAGATATGCTCTCTAGGTAGCACCTCTTCCGACTGTTGCTGACACGCGTCATCACTGCTAGCTGCACCATGCGATTCATTCAAGCTCTCGTTATCCTCCCAGCCCTTGCTGCGGCGCAAGAGCAGGTTCCCCTTGCGGATCGAGTTCAGGGATGGTTCAACAAGGCCAAGTCTTACCTGCCAACCGCGACTCCTGTTGTTCCTACGGTCGAGAAGGTCGTCGAACAGAAGGTCCAACAGAAGGCTGTCGCGGTCACCCCTTTTAACATGAGCAACTGGCAGTCTCTCTTGGAGCCATCTTCCGAGCCCCAAGACTGGCTGCTGTACATTACTGGTGGTAACAAGACCTGTTTCGGTCGTTGCGGAAACGCGGACAAAGCTTTCAATGTAAGGTCTCAGACAGGGGTAGTAGAAGATGCGAGTACCCCGAGAACCTATGGCTAATCATCTTACTTCGAAGGAATCTCTTCTCCTGTTCTCCGCAGACCCTACCTCCCCTAATCTTGGTCATCTGAACTGCGAATCGGATCAGCTCCTGTGCTCCACATGGTCTGCAGGCGCTCCCTCTGTTTGGTACTTTGAAGTTCCTCAAGCTCAACTTGGCGGGAGTCGTGCTGCGACACCTCTCCACGTCGTGTATCTGAACTCGACAACTGTGACGGCCCAGGACATCTACAAGATTCATTCCGAGAAGACCTACAAGAAGGAACCCGCTTACGAAGGCGCCCTCCACCCAACGGACGGCTGGCTAGCCCAGAACAACCTTCTTGTCCCCCTGGGCTATGTCATCCACGGTTTCAGCGTTATCCCCAGTTGGCTCTTCATGATCTTCATCAGCTTTGCTAGCCGAACTCTGATGTAAGTGTCAATTCTTGCTTTTCTCACCATTGTTCTGGTTTAGCTAATCCCAAACAGGAGCCGCCGAATGGGCAACGCGGGAGCTCGCCCTAACTAGAAGATGACGGTGATGTTGTTCTCTAATCTCAGCACTGTCGGGAATGTATATATAATGCAGTAGCGGTTTCTTCTGAGAAATTATAATCTTGGTTATGCTGCTTTGGATCTTGTTGGTGCATTTCTACAGCCTCCAGCTTGCGTCATGGTATGCTGAGGGTTAAAGCTGGTTAGGAGGTGGGGGGGAAATGTTATCGATCCATTACTATTTGCTTTAAATGAAATCCCGGTTAGAGAAGTTTGTTACCTGCCTTTAGATCATGGGGTGGATTGGTTTAGTAGTTGACTGATTGACAAGCAGCTGTGGCGGCTACCCGAGCTCAGATCGGATCTTAGTTTACCACTAGGACCAGCTAGATAGAACTCTGATGGAAAATACCCCAACAGCTTCTTCCACCCTTGCACTTCCAAAAATAAAAAAGATGGCCGAGTTAGACCGGGTCCCTCCCTCCACCACAGCATACGTGATAGCTACAGCTATCCTCGCTGGCATCACTGGTTATTTTATTGGGCAGGGCGCCTCATTGGGACTATTTTCCTCGGCCAAAGAGAAGGAAGGCTGGCCCAACAGTTATAATGTGAAGGTCCCTCCGCATTCCTCCGACGAAGAGGACGAAGACTACGAAGATGACAGCGAGGAGGAAGGCGATGGTGGCGAGCTGGCCAATTTCGACGACAGCAACGAGGAAGTGAAGCTTGTGCTGGTTGTGAGGACGGATCTGGGCATGACCAAGGGTAAATCCTTCCCTTGTGCTTCCCCGCCTAGGCTTGGTTTTTCGAGATCCAGCGCGCGCGTTGTGGAAATGAATACAGCTAACACGATACGCTTAACATAGGCAAAATCGCCGCCCAGTGCTCGCATGCAACGCTCGCCTGCTACAAATACCTCATCGCGCATAACCCGCAGTCACCTATCCTGCGGAGATGGGAACAACAGGGACAAGCAAAGATCGCCTTGCAGACAAAGTCGGAGGAGGAATTACAGTTGCTGCAAGCACAGGCGATGGGCTTAGGCCTCTGCGCTCGCGTGATCCAGGATGCTGGACGGACACAGATCGCCAGCGGCAGCAGGACGGTACTTGGAGTTTTGGGGCCAAAGAGTGTGGTGGATCAAGTAACGGGGCATCTAAAGCTGTTGTAAATGCTGATGGCGATAATGGGACGAATGTATGTATGTGAATGTAGAATTCGCGAATGCTTCACTCAACCAGCGAGTTTCTGGAATTACGAAGTACGTCGCATATACGATCCACGCGATGCCAGGTTCGTAGGTGTCTACGAGACCATCTCTTGTAGTTCATTCAATCTACACAAATCCTACAGAATAATACTGCGCAATAAAAGTAGCAAAAAGGTATGTTGGCTAGTCATGGTTTTTCCCTAACCTCACAGGCCGACGGCCAAATCGGTAAAGGGATCAGGAATATGACGCCGCTGGTACTAGGCCCTCCAGCCGAGCTCACCTATCGGGAGCTCAAGACCAAGTGATACCTAATGCCAGCATTCGATCTGAGATCTGTCGACCGGAAATAAAAACCATCCACAAGGGGATGGCTCCTTAAGTCGTCGAACTGTCCAGCAATCAACCGAGACACAGAGACAGCTCCTCCGTGAAGAGGAACAGCTCCATGCTCAGGATCGCTGGACACAGATCCGTGTTTGTTCAATTGGTGAGGAAAAAGAGAAAAAGAGAAGAGAGGTCGAGAAAAAAATCCTGGCTTTTTATGTTGGCGCCAAGTGCGCGCTAAGATTTTGCCGCGCTAAGCCTTACAGAGACTGGATGTGATTATGTAATGACAATGGAACTAAAGGCCTGCGGTTGGGTTGGAGTGTCGGAGGCAATCTATCAACAGTCAAGCCGACCATCCATGGCAGTCTGCGAGACCTGACATCCCCAACACACTTCCTGGCCGACTCTGATACAACGTGATTCTAAATCGCCCAAGATGGCGGACGCTCTTTCTATTGAGCAGAATAACAAAATCCGAGTTGCCCTTGGGCTCAAACCCCTCCCCGTCCCTGGTGCTGACGCCACCTCCGGTCCGGTGTTTAAAGAAACAAGAGAGGGCTCTGCCTCTGAAGAAGACGCCGGCAGCACCCTCGAGTCGCGGCAAGCGCTTGCCTCGGAGAATTGGAAGAAACTTCAAGAGGAGGCCGAGGCGAAGCAGAGACGAGAGGCTAAAAATGCTGCGATCAAGAAGGCTCGTGATGCTGCTCAGCGCGCTCGTATGCTCGAAGGCCCTACGCTAGGAGAGTCTGGCGATGTGGATATGGATACGAAGACCTGGTTGCTGCAGGCGAAGAAGCGACAGAAGAAGATCGAAAAGGAACGCGCCCTCAAACTCGCTCAAGAACTAGAGGAACGTGAACGTGCTGCGGAATACTCCACGGCGGATCTGGCTGGGCTGAAGGTTGGGCATGAGGTTGGCGAGTTCGAAGAAGGAGAAGAACATGTTCTTACTCTCAAAGATACGACTATAGATGAGAACGAGGAGGAGGGCGATGAGCTGGAGGACGTCAGTCTGAGAGAAAAGGAGAAGGTGGCGGAAAGGCTGGAACTGAAAAAGCGGAAACCTGTCTACGATCCCACCGAAGAGAATATCGGCATACTCGCGCAATATGACGAAGAGATTGAAGGCAAGAAGCGGAAACGCTTCACGCTTGATGCTCAGGGGTCTACAGTTGAAGAACGAGAGGCTAAGCGACAAGAGGTATCGGACAGACTCAAGCAGAATCTTGTCAGCCTCGACCTTGGTGCAATTGAGGCAGCTCCAGTTTCTGATTACATGGATGTGAGCGAGATTAAGATCAAGAAGCCGAAGAAAAAGAAGGTCAAGGCAACCAGACAGAGACCGGTTGATGAAGACGATATATTTCCTACAACTGAGTCGACGCAGAACGGGGCTATGGAAGTCGATGCCAGCAACGGAGTGCCCGCGCCGGCTCCTCGAAAATGGGAGAGCAGTGAGAACGTATCGTTTGTCGATGATGACGATCTACAAGCCTCTCTTACACGCCAGAGAAGGGCCGCTTTCAAAAAGCGGCAGAAAGTGCGACCCGAGGATATCGCACGACAGCTCAGAGAGGAATCGCAAACACCAATGGAGGCAGAAAATGAAGAGGCTGAAGAGCCTGGCTTGGTCATAGACGAGACATCAGAATTCGTTTCCAATCTACAGAAGCCGATCCTTCCAGAGCGCCGCGAGAGACGGCGAACAACGACACCTGCCGAGAGTGTCAAGGAAGGATCTGTCGAGAGGATCAAGGAAGAACCGGCCGACGATGACGCTGACGTGGACATGGAGCGTTCGTACAATGATATTGAAGATGAAGAGGACCTCAAGGAACGCATCAAGAGGGAAGATTCTCAGCTCCAGCAAATCTCCGGAACCGGACTGGAGGAAGAAACTACATTGGATCAAGGGCTCGGTGCGACATTGAATATGCTCAAGCAACGCGGACTGGTCAAACCCTCCGATGCTGTTGAGCACAACACGCTCCTGCGGGCTCGTCAGCGTTTCCTGCACGAGAAGACCCACCTTGAAACGGAGGCAGAGAAACGAGCTCGGCAACAGCGTGAACGCGACCGAGCCTCCGGTAAACTCGACCGGATGTCGGCCCGCGAGCGTGAAGAATACGCGCGGTGGGAGAACAAGCAACGTGACCAACAAGATGCACGACACATGGCGGAAGTCTTCAACAAGGAATACAAGCCCGACGTACAACTCAAGTACGTTGACGAATTTGGTCGTTTAATGAACCAAAAGGAAGCTTTCAAGCATCTTAGTCACCAGTTCCACGGCAAGGGCAGCGGCAGGATGAAGACTGAGAAACGGTTGAAGAAGATTGAAGAGGAGAAGAAACGCGAAGCCATGAGCGCTTTGGACAGCAGTCAACACACTGGCATGACCAATGCTATGGGAGCCACCGCTCGGAAAAACCGTCAAGCTGGTGTGAGGTTGGGATGAGTTCTTGGATACTCGCCCACGTTCTCGTATCATATGCAATTCTTAATGATGATGTATGGTTTTGGCATCTATAGGCTACCTGAATATACCATGAAGCTTATAAGACGAAATGATCCCTCGTACGCCATGATTTGCTCGTTCTGAACATACAGTTCATTGATTCACTGTATTTAAGGTGTTTAAGAAAGTTGGTGTACCACATTGTCACTGGAAGACAATCCTGAATACGTAGGGCTTGCAATATACATAGCTCAACTTGGGTATCAGCCCTATCTGGATGGATCTGGATCCCCTCAGGAATAGTGCAACATCCCGAATGACAGTCTGGCGTTTGGGGCGGAATTTAACCGACCATCGACCAGCAGCTCGGCAGTCCTCCTCGCTCTTCTAGCTATTGACTGGTCTGACCTGCGTACGCTGTGGAAGAGCAATATGAAGTATGTTCCGAAAAAGGAAATCTTTCCACCCGCACGGGAGTATGTCGCAAAACCAAGTATCAGTAGACACCAGTTGTACTTGTAACTTGCAGCTTCTGTAAGGTCCAGATAACTGGCGAGCAACTCTATTTACCCCAATTCTCGTGAGGGAAGCACAGGCAGATCCAGCCAGTCAAGCAGTGCCTCAGGCTCCAGCCAGTGGGCCGACATGCTCAATCAGTTCACCGGAGGGCGGCCACCGGGAATAGAGGTGAGGAGATGGCACCATGATTTATGAATATCACCATTATTATAAGCACTTCGATATCAAGATTTGTTATTTTGCTAGTGTCATCAAGGCTCAGCTTCGTTTATAGTCTCACGTAAGAAAGATCTACGAAATCTCCGGCTGACCAGAGAAAATCCAAGACTGCTGTTTTGGTATATATAACGGAGCATTCGGTGCCGGGTGTCTGGAAACAAGGATATCAATCCAGTCACGTGATTTCCTTGTACCTTGTACAAGTAATAACGGAGTAGATCAAACAACAAAATAATACTTGACGATCAGACACTCTCATGAAGACTAGTTAGGCTGCCGTGTTTATACCTCTTCGTAGTCATGTTTAGGACCCTCAATGCCTTCAAACAGGATGTACCAGTACCGGAGGGCCTAGGTAACAAAGTAAGGTACCTCAAGCAGGACCCAATTTAACCGCGATGCGGAGAAAGTGACCAATCCGAATCAGCCGCTTTTCTCCCCGGAATTTCCCTATGGTTATTCACATGAGTCAAAAAAATACACAAACTCACGCGCTGTGTCTCCGACTCGGATCTGCTGCTCTTGACTCTTTTTAGGATTGATCTCCAATCGGTGTCCTTTTTGACATTTTTTCCCTTCTTCTTTCCTACTTTTCTCCGTGATCCTTTCACTGCTTTTCCCTCGAGGACCTGTTGAGCTTCTAGTTCTACATCTTAGATTTCTGAATTAGCGCCCTTCACACAGCAATGTTGTCCACTCTCAGAGTCGCCAGCCGCCAGGCTGCTTCGCGTGAGGCGAGCATGCGCACCGTGGTCATCGGTGCCAGACATGCCTCTGCCTGGTCCAATGTCCCTCAGGGTCCTCCGGTAATACACTATTGTCCGGAAAGTCGCTCTGTGGGTCATTGTTAACGTAATGGCATGATTCCAGGACGCTATCCTTGGTATCACTGAGGCATTCAAGGCCGATACCTTCAAGGAGAAGATCAACCTTGGTGTCGGTGCTTACCGTACGTACTATTCGTGAATTGAATCGCTCAAGCTTTCTTAATGGCTTAATTGATGCCCATTGTTTTGTGCAACGACTGATTTTCTGTAATCGGAACGAATAGGTGATGACAAGGGCAAGCCATATGTTCTGCCCTCGGTTCGCGCTGCCGAAGACAAGGTCGTTGCCTCGCGTCTCGACAAAGAATACGCTGGTATCACTGGTATTCCTTCCTTCACCAAGGCTGCTGCGGAGCTGGCCTATGGCAGCGACTCCGCCGTCATCAAGGAGGACCGTCTTGTCATCACTCAGACCATTTCCGGTACCGGTGCCCTGAGAATCGGAGGTGCTTTCCTGCAGCGCTTCTACCCTCACGCTAAGAAGATCTACCTTCCCACTCCTAGCTGGGCCAACCATGCCGCCGTCTTCAAGGACTCCGGAATGGAGGTCGCGTCCTACCGTTACTACAACAAGGACACTATTGGCCTTGACTTCGAGGGCCTCATCGCTGACATCAAGGCCGCTCCCAACAACAGCATCATTCTGTTGCACGCCTGTGCTCATAATCCCACCGGTGTCGATCCCACCCAGGATCAGTGGCGCCAGATTAGCGACGTCATGAAGGAGAAGGGTCACTTTGCTTTCTTCGATATGGCCTACCAGGGCTTTGCCAGTGGTAACGCGGACCGTGATGCTTTCGCCCCTAGACACTTCGTCAAGGAGGGTCACAACATTGCTCTGTGCCAGAGTTTCGCCAAGAACATGGTAAGCTCGGGCTGCTCGACCTCATG